CATGGAGGATGAAAGAAATCGTGTACAGCTCAAACTTTAACCAGTAAAAGGTACAATTGGCACGCCCCTCTCCTCCCTCGCCATCAGGGGTACTTACCTTCTTCTGCCACAACAGACACATTTTCAGAGGGTGAAGAAACTACACGAGTAATAAACCCTTCGTCAGTCGGTTTCCCAGTTTCACTGTCACCAAAAATTTCAGCTTCGGTTTCGAGGATTACTGTTTGTCCCTCTGTGCCAGCGTTTGCTTTAATTTGCTGATTCAGTTTTTCGAGCTGTAGTGAGTTGATGAGGCAAAGGAGGCCCAGAACTGCATCCAGGACATGGAATTCAGCAAACTTTTCCTGAAACAAAAATAAGGTGTTACACAGTCCAGTTCTCGCCCTCTCTCTCTGTCTTGCAATGCCCTTTAGAGGGCCAGAAGTAGACTAGGTGTTACATTACTGTGTGAAGCAAAAGTTCGACCAATACTTTAATTTGTTGACGTTGTGAACAAGTTGTACGTGAAGTAGGTATTGGCATTGTTTCAGTTATTTGTTTTAGGGTTAGAATACTTCTTTTTAGGGGTTGAAAATATCACAGGAGAAGTGCAAGATGAAAAGAATATCATACAGTGAAACCTGTATTAAGCAGACACCCTAAATGAAGTGGACACCAGCTTGAGTCCCTAAATTTTCTTTCCACATTTACTGTAAATAAACCTGCATTCAGTGGACACCTCTGTTGAGCGGACGCGGACACACAATATTAAGCCATTTTGTTGCACAAAACCTGCAATAAGCGAACACTTCAACGACATTTTACTTCTAAAAACTCAGCCCTGACTCCTTCAACATTGTTCAGCGATGTTGTTTTAAAGCTAAGTAGCTAATTCCAGATTGATGCATTGACTGACTAGACATTGTGCTATGAGCAGTCCTTTGATCTTACATATGTACACTGTGTTACAAAAGGTTTTATTATTGCACGACATATTAGAACCTGTTTCTAGCGGACACCCTGTATTACGTGGACACTAGTGAGCGTCCCAAGGGCGTCCGCTTCATACAGGTTTCACTGTATATTATAATCTGAATTGAACAGGATGTTGCATCATATTGGTTCTGCCTGAGGACAAAGTGTGATGTTTCAGGTCTTTTGATTGAGGTCATAACTAAGCTGTTTGTTTGTAAGGAGCTGGTAGTTGCTGGCATCTGTTAAGGTGTTTGATCTAAGTTAGTGTATTAGCAGAGTCCCAGGCAATTTTGCGGTTACAGTTATTAACACCTTGCGATGCTTAAGGTCACAGAGGAAAGTAAATATTTTTTTTTCTCAGTACGGAAGAAAAGATTGTGAATAGCAAGCTTGAAAATCCACCATGCAAACCCTTTAAATTTTACAAACTCTTAAACCCCACATAGAATCTCATACTTAAATCTCATAATTCTCAAAGTTGGTGATCACACTGTTATAATTTTCGGCATCCATTTCATTCCAGAACAATTTAATAACTGAAAAAAAAAAATGAAAACTTTCTTTTTCTCACACAACTTGTTACAAGAAAGCAATTCATATTTACATGGCTTTCTTGGGCAATGCTTATTGCTGTGATGATGTTCATGGCCCCGATACAATGAGCAATCACCAGTGGATTAGCCCTGAGATGGTCAGCGGTCTTGCTTGCCATGTTGTCAATCAACTCCACAATGTACTCCATGAAACCCTCTGTGTTTACCATCACTAAAAAATATGATCAAAATACACAACAGTATCTCATCAGTATACTTAAATTCTGGTGTGTAGACTTACAAAACCATTTCTGATAGTCAAAGGTGGCACTCATTACTCCACTACATTTTGGGAGTAGCTAAAATTGTGCATTGTTTTTACAGGTACTTAACAAATGGATTCCATGTTGCCGTGTGCAACTGTTTAGCACTACATGTATATCACAGATGGCATTAAAATGCGGTAAGGTCAAACAAAATGGCACACGAGGCAATAGCCACGTTTATCACTGATGTTCTTGACGCATTTTGACATCTTCAGTGATCTATTACTGAACAAAAGATTTTTACAATACAGGATGTTAATGGCATCATCTATGCGTCTGTCCTCCAATAAGTCATAATAGTCCAGTTTCGAATTCGCCATGACTGCTGATTAAAAGCACTTAGAGCACATTTGTACAGGGTTAGCCTCGACTTAAAAAAAATATTCACAAATACTGGCGGGAAGGTGAAACAAATTTGAAAATTAAACAATACACAGAGCTGTAAACAGGTCATCTTCTCGCTGGAATTTGTGAATATTTTACTTTAGGTCGAGGCCAACCCTGTGCAAATGCGTTCTCAAAGCTTTTAATCAACGGTCATGGCGAATTCGAAACTGGACTATTAAGAAACAATCAAAATGTGAGAATTATATTTGACTTATAATCGTATCTACAACGAAATTCTCAATCGTGATCGGTTCTCCGCGCGCCTATTTGTCACGTAATCGGCGCGCAATCACATGGGTGACCAATTACAGGTATCCAATTTGAACTTTTTGTAATTGGATACCCTCGTGATTCGCATGTCAATTACGCATGCTTTAATGGCTTTCTTCGCAATGTTTCCTATAGTTTTCAAAACTTATGAAACGTGCTACATATGTTGTCACTCAAAAGAAGTTCTCAAAAGACATTTATAATTCCGAAATTTGTTATAGATACGATTAATTAGTACTTAGACCTCGAGTCGTACAATTCAGGGAGTAACCGTGCTTGTAACTTGAAATCGGCCTCGCGCATCGCGCGAGTAATCTCAAAATCAGACAAGCGCGAAGCGTGAGGCCGATTTGAAATTCCAAGCACGATTACTCCCTGAATTGTACGACTCGAGGTCCAATTACTATTACTTATACTAGTTGTACCTATCGGTAAATGCCATTGAGCGAATGAACCATTGTTGACGAGGATAACGGTTGTTTAGCAATTATTTCATGTATACAGTGTACATGTACATGTACTGAATTGTTGCCAAAGAAAGAACATACATGGAATGGTTTTCGGTAGAATTTAATTTATATTTGTTTGAAATGTTTAAAATTTCAGAAATTATAATTAATTTTAGGCAATTTCAGTTGAGAAGGAAGTTCTATTTCTCATAGACTTACAATGTACACCACAGCTTTCTTGTCGTACATATTTGTTCAGAAATGCCAAACAATTCTAAATAATGTTTTGGGTTTGTAGTGGCAAATTCTCTTAGCTTCAGCATCTATGCGTCTGTCCTCCAATAGATTATATATTAAGTAACAACCAATCAAACTGTGAGAACAATATTTGGCTTATTATAAGTTGCATGTACATGTACAACCTGTCTACTCAATGCACAATGATCTCTGATAAGAAATTCTTAAGTTACTACAAAAACACTCTTTAGACAATCCTGGATTAAAAAACTCACTGAACTAACCTTCCTTATGGTAATCATGTCGTGCTAGGACAGTGAGAAGCTCCAGTTCAGACACTTTGCTAATGGCGAGTGATGCAGGGGTGCTCATCAAAAGATCGATCAGTGGTAACAAAATGTATCCCTGTACCTGTTCATTAGCATAGTAACCTGCATTGAAAAATTACACAGTCAAATTATATTTCAAATTAGGCAAAAAGGAACTGATATATCTCTTTCTCTTTCAACATCTGACTTACTAAGCTGTTAACCCCATTAATATGATCACCAACAGGGTGAGACCATGAAAATTTGGCTGCAATTAATGGGGTAGGGACAAACCTGATGACTGGTCTAAATTGACTGATGTTTTAACAGATATATCATAATTGCACTTCTACATGACTGGGCCAAGTTGTTCGAAAGTTGGTTAACGCTAACCCAGGATTAAAAGTAAACCGAAGTATTGATTTTTCTTGTCTCAAATTGTTTTTCATTGCTTATGTTATGTGCAGTTTGAGGTTATTAAAACTCAAAACTGAGGGGCAAGCAATATAAACATGAAACCTCATCCAAAAGTCACAAAACTGGAATCAAAATTCTCCCTAATCCTGGGTTAGCCTAATCGGGCTTTGAACAACCCAGCCCTGTTCTTTAAGGTTACTGCAGACATGATTTTGAAAAAATGGAAACTTGCGTTAGTGTAAAGTATTAGTTTACATTTTAGTATTGTAAGAATTGTAGCTGTTGCAAGACAATAATAATAAGAGTAAAAACAAAACAAAACAAAAAAAAATAACACTGGATGAACATAAGTGGTTAGAGTGGCTGTTAGTATAAATGGGGTAAAATTATAAAAGATTATACAGGTTGGGATTTTAGAATGTGGCCATTTGGACAAAAATTAACCGGGTGGCAGCATTAACAGGGTTTTCTTATAGGAAAATGAATGGGCGTTTCGCTGGGACAAAAAAGTGGCCGCAATAACAGGATGTGTTGATCATAAGGCAGGGTTCCACTGTAAAATATTTGCTGGGAAATTTCCATTTACATGTACTAAATGTTATTTGGATTGCCATTCATGTAGAAACAAACTTTGTTTGCACAACACCTTTTAACTTTTAAAAACTTTCAATTACTACAACACCTGTACCACTGTAATTACTTATTGTGCTGTCTTTTAAGGTGAGACGAGCATTATTGCAGTAAAAGTTAGGTTTGTCTGTTTACTGAGAGGCAATAGAGGTGATGGTTGACGACGATGATGATAATGATGTTAATCTTGACAACAGTGATGATGATGATTACTAACTCAAAAGTATGAGAATAAGGTACACTGAAGCTACACTGTGTGAACTAACTTAACTGTAAAGTCAAAGTTATCTAAAGGCAACAGCAAGCCAACACAATTTGAAAACCACACCTAGATTGAGGGAAGTGACCAACTCCACCGCATCAAAGCCTCGATGAAGAGCAATCTTCACTGCTCCATCTCTCTTCTTGTAGCCACAGTATGTCCACAGCTCGCCAGTTTTAAAATTGTAATCTTCAATTCCAAGATCTTTGAGATGTACTTTTGCATCAGCTGATGAAAAGTTCACACAAAGTAATGTAAGTGTACATCTACTTAGTACACATATATACATGCATGACGTTTGCATTTTGCATGCAGGGCTATCATTAATGGCCATAACCCGTAAAATCTGTTATGGCTGAGTACATGTACAGTGTATACTTGCTCGGCCCTTGAAGTTATGGTGAACTTTCCTGCCATTGATACAACTCACCCATAAAGTAACAAGTTTGATACGAGTTTGAAGATCAAGGCTGCAAGTGGATCAAAACTAAACGATAGCTTAGTGATACCTTGCATGTCTGACCCTGAATTTTTTCCTTATTTTTATTTTTATTAATATCATTATTTTTTTCTCGTTACAGAGTTCAATCTTGCACAAACAGTCGCACATTATGTAGTCATAAGCAACCAGTTCTAGTAAGTTGCCACTCAAATTCTGTTATTAAAGGCTCTCATAAGTGACCACTACCATCAGCATCTGTGACTACTTTTGGAAATCAGCAACTGGTAGTTTTCTTTGCTTTTAAGCACTCATAAGTGACCACTCAAAGTTGTTCCAGTCAACACAAAAGCAAAGGAATATGGTTTGGGTTTAAGCAGCTGTTTAGTGGCCATAGGAGCATTAAGTAACAATTTGGAGACATACTTTGATGGCCAAGGTAAAAGAGAAGGGCTAGACATGGGACGGATGGGAGGGGCAGTGGCGGAGCTCCGGACTCTAGTTGCTTCATGCTACAGAAACCGGGATACGCTCTGGCCTGATGAGCCACTTGGCTCGTACGCAGACTTTGACATGGGACGAGGCACAACATGCTAACTTAACTTAGTGCGAGGTTTTTACTATCGTTGATAAAAAAATATATGTTTTCCAGAGTGTACGTCTCCTTTAAGTAAGGAGTGTTATGTAACACCCCAAAATTATAGTCCTAAGGGAGCAGAACTCACCAGTCATGTAATAGTTTGCCTCTCCTCTCACAGCTATGAACACCAGTGTTCCAACAGGTATCATGTCAATACACTCGATGAGTCGTTCACTAGCATCCTTGTCATGGCCGGTATCAAATGAAACTGCTTCTGTCACTTGGAAAGTCATGAAGTCCATCACCACTACATTAATGCCTGGTTTATTGGGACTGTGCTCCTTGCCGTTGATTGAAATACTCACTCGATCACCATTCTTGTAACCAAGGGATTGGATAGTCACTGGGATTTTCGTGTCTGAAAAAAGTATTGAACAGATTTACTTTTATTCCATTGCTAAGAACCATCATTAGACAAAAGATATATATATGACGTAGAAGGGCTGTACATGTATTACTGGTATGTAGCTACTGTATCAGCAGCAAGCACTAGCATTGTGTCCCAAAAGATACATTCACATACAGCATAGCCCTTTCGCAGGAATTGCCTTATGCTGCTAGATAAAAAATTTGGCATAGATTATTATAAACGCAAAGTTATGCATAAAATAACATGCATTGTACAATCCAGCATTCTTATCCACCAAGGCCATTACTCTTTATGTCAGCATGAAAAATTGAGACCTCTTGCCTCACCCAATATTTTTATCTTGTTTATTACATGTTACATTGATTTTCTCTTTTCTTTGTCTTACAACCCAATCGGATTTGAAGAAAAAACATTGCTGGACAGAGTTTAAACAATGTTTGGTGCTGAACAAAAGAACAAGCCATTGCTCAGTTGCCCTTACCTATGCTTCAAATGAGTCTTAGTTAGGGTATGATTAAAACCTGAGCACTGGCAAATTGACCGGCTGTGAGAATGATTTTTCCCTCTTAGTTTGACCATCTAGAGAAACGTTCTCTTATAAACTAAGAAGTTCAATTCTAAACAGTTTAATTGCCAGGGCTCGACACTAACTACTCAACTTACTAGCCTAGTGGCTAGTGACAACTTAGATGTTACTAGCCAAAACTTTTTTTTTACTAGCCAAGCGTTTTTCTTTGAAACTTCCTTGGAAAATCATCGAGAACCCGAAACATCATTGTAAGACTTGAACCGTTGATACTTCTTCACAGGAAAGAGGCCGAAGAAATGTTTTAAAAGCAAATCAACTATCCGAACGATACTGCAAACTGTTGCTGGCGAAATTTGACTGCTAAAAACGGCTGATTTTAATGTCGAAGGAAATAAATCTTTCTCATTCAATTGTTTCCGTAGTAGTAAGTTTTGTCAGTATGCCTATGACAACAAATCACCCACGTGCTGTTGCGCTAAATGAAATGTTATCCCTTTACAGTTCTGCAAGATTTTGCGCATGATTTTATCAGGAAGCTCATGTTTTGTTGCTCTAATTTTGTGACAAAAAAGAACAATGATGAGTGCTTTCAGAAAATGCCATCTTGTTTGAGAGATATTTCTTTCAACATAACAACATGTGTACTTACCCATTACATACCACAATGCAGCAAAAAGTAAACAAACTTAAATTCGCATATGTGATGTACAGCACGTGCCCGGTAACATGACACATTAATGAAATTCTGACCTTGTTTTCAAGAAAAGTGTTTGCGTATAACTTTCTTGTGGAAGACAGAAACTAATTCCGCCAATTTCATTTTGTTTACTAGCCAAAGTGGCTAGTGGAAATCAAAAACCTACTAGCCAAAACTAAATTTCTACCAGTCTGTGGCTAGTTGGTTACCATTAGTGTCGAGCCCTGATTGCCCAACTGTGAAAAACAGTTGACCTCCTGCTGAAAATGCTCATTAAACTCCCTCCCATATAAAAATGACAGGGGTGCTTGTCGTACCTTTTAGGGGTTAAAAAAGCAGTTTTGGTACTTCTTAGGGTGCCCAGCCTCAAAAAGTCCACAGTGGGAGTGTCTGTGGTACCTTTTAGGGTATTAAGCTGCTTTGTTTTAGTATTTATACCTCTTAGGGGTGAAAAAAATTTCAAGCCATGCCTACAAAACAGGACCTTGGTACCCCTTAGGGGTTCTTTTCAAAATTTCCAACAAGCAACCCGTCGTTCTGATAATTATGGGAATCCCCCCCCCCCAACTGGGATTAAACCCCCACTTTTGTGCAGAAACTTTCATATGCAAACGAGTTTTTCTTACATGTTCACTGTCATGCAAATCAAACTCATTTCCAACTCAGAAAGCACTTATTGAGGACTCTAGAACTCTCCTTCACTGGTGCGAAGGAGAACAGGCCTCTAGGAATGAGAATATTGGTCATTATAATCCATCAAATATTTTCGCTAGCGCGATTTGTCTAAACACGTCACGCGACCGAATTTTCCCCTGCTTAAAACTGGGGAATGTGCGAGAATATTCCCCAATTTTCAAAACTGTGTGCGTTGAGAAAAAGATTTAAAGAATAATAAACAAAATAGCCTCCATTTGGGAAGAAAATATACCCGGATATTTTGTCCTTTGACATTATCTGTTCCTCGAAGCTCACAGTTTTCCTCGAGCTATGCTCTTGGAACACTGTTCGCTTCTCGGAACAGATAATGTCTGCGAACAAATATCCTAGCATATTTTCGCTCCAAAGGGAGGCTATTGTTTGTATAGACCAAAACGACCATTCAAGGGACCGCCACACTGGAACACACTGGTAAAATGGCGAAGAGGACTGAGCAGCCAATACCATACAAATACCGCTGACTGGAAGTACCAGCTACTCTTCGTTGTTAACTTTCAATTGTTCAATTGCATTTAACAGCATATAACTCACCAAGAAAACCAAGCATAACAAGAGTCTTGGCAGCATGAGTGGAACACTGCGGATGATCGCTGTCTCCAATTGCTAACTCCATCAACGGCTTCAATCCGCCTAGCATTATGATCTCTTTCTTAACATCATCAGATGTCATGGCCATGTTCAGCAAAAGAGCAGATGCCCAGAATTGCAGCTCAGAATCAGCAGATACAGAATAGGCCAGCACTGCTTTTAAACCGCCGTCCTCAAGAACCTTGCTTTGTAAACTTTCTGAAGAACATTAAAATTGTGGTATAATCTCAATGACAAGATTCACTGGCTTCGAGGGAAATACAGTTGGACCACTCTGATTCAATCAGGGTTTTCTCTTATTCCCTGCTATTTCGAACTCAAAATCACTTCCCTTGGATTTGCCTTTCAGTCGTTTTTTTTTTTTTTTTTTTTTTNCCTGATGACTGGTCTAAATTGACTGATGTTTTAACAGATATATCATAATTGCACTTCTACATGACTGGGCCAAGTTGTTCGAAAGTTGGTTAACGCTAACCCAGGATTAAAAGTAAACCGAAGTATTGATTTTTCTTGTCTCAAATTGTTTTTCATTGCTTATGTTATGTGCAGTTTGAGGTTATTAAAACTCAAAACTGAGGGGCAAGCAATATAAACATGAAACCTCATCCAAAAGTCACAAAACTGGAATCAAAATTCTCCCTAATCCTGGGTTAGCCTAATCGGGCTTTGAACAACCCAGCCCTGTTCTTTAAGGTTACTGCAGACATGATTTTGAAAAAATGGAAACTTGCGTTAGTGTAAAGTATTAGTTTACATTTTAGTATTGTAAGAATTGTAGCTGTTGCAAGACAATAATAATAAGAGTAAAAACAAAACAAAACAAAAAAAAATAACACTGGATGAACATAAGTGGTTAGAGTGGCTGTTAGTATAAATGGGGTAAAATTATAAAAGATTATACAGGTTGGGATTTTAGAATGTGGCCATTTGGACGAATTAACCGGGTGGCAGCATTAACAGGGTTTTCTTATAGGAAAATGAATGGGCGTTTCGCTGGGACAAAAAAGTGGCCGCAATAACAGGATGTGTTGATCATAAGGCAGGGTTCCACTGTAAAATATTTGCTGGGAAATTTCCATTTACATGTACTAAATGTTATTTGGATTGCCATTCATGTAGAAACAAACTTTGTTTGCACAACACCTTTTAACTTTTAAAAACTTTCAATTACTACAACACCTGTACCACTGTAATTACTTATTGTGCTGTCTTTTAAGGTGAGACGAGCATTATTGCAGTAAAAGTTAGGTTTGTCTGTTTACTGAGAGGCAATAGAGGTGATGGTTGACGACGATGATGATAATGATGTTAATCTTGACAACAGTGATGATGATGATTACTAACTCAAAAGTATGAGAATAAGGTACACTGAAGCTACACTGTGTGAACTAACTTAACTGTAAAGTCAAAGTTATCTAAAGGCAACAGCAAGCCAACACAATTTGAAAACCACACCTAGATTGAGGGAAGTGACCAACTCCACCGCATCAAAGCCTCGATGAAGAGCAATCTTCACTGCTCCATCTCTCTTCTTGTAGCCACAGTATGTCCACAGCTCGCCAGTTTTAAAATTGTAATCTTCAATTCCAAGATCTTTGAGATGTACTTTTGCATCAGCTGATGAAAAGTTCACACAAAGTAATGTAAGTGTACATCTACTTAGTACACATATATACATGCATGACGTTTGCATTTTGCATGCAGGGCTATCATTAATGGCCATAACCCGTAAAATCTGTTATGGCTGAGTACATGTACAGTGTATGCTTGCTCGGCCCTTGATGTTATGGTGAACTTTCCTGCCGTTGATACAACTCACCCATAAAGTAACAAGTTTGATACGAGTTTGAAGATCAAGGCTGCAAGTGGATCAAAACTAAACGATAGCTTAGTGATACCTTGCATGTCTGACCCTGAATTTTTTCCTTATTTTTATTTTTATTAATATCATTATTTTTTTCTCGTTACAGAGTTCAATCTTGCACAAACAGTCGCACATTATGTAGTCATAAGCAACCAGTTCTAGTAAGTTGCCACTCAAATTCCGTTATTAAAGGCTCTCATAAGTGACCACTACCATCAGCATCTGTGACTACTTTTGGAAATCAGCAACTGGTAGTTTTCTTTGCTTTTAAGCACTCATAAGTGACCACTCAAAGTTGTTCCAGTCAACACAAAAGCAAAGGAATATGGTTTGGGTTTAAGCAGCTGTTTAGTGGCCATAGGAGCATTAAGTAACAATTTGGAGACATACTTTGATGGCCAAGGTAAAAGAGAAGGGCTAGACATGGGACGGATGGGAGGGGCAGTGGCGGAGCTCCGGACTCTAGTTGCTTCATGCTACAGAAACCGGGATAAGCTCTGGCCTGATGAGCCACTTGGCTCGTACGCAGACTTTGACATGGGACGAGGCACAACATGCTAACTTAACTTAGTGCGAGGTTTTTACTATCGTTGATAAAAAAATATATGTTTTCCAGAGTGTACGTCTCCTTTAAGTAAGGAGTGTTATGTAACACCCCAAAATTATAGTCCTAAGGGAGCAGAACTCACCAGTCATGTAATAGTTTGCCTCTCCTCTCACAGCTATGAACACCAGTGTTCCAACAGGTATCATGTCAATACACTCGATGAGTCGTTCACTAGCATCCTTGTCATGGCCGGTATCAAATGAAACTGCTTCTGTCACTTGGAAAGTCATGAAGTCCATCACCACTACATTAATGCCTGGTTTATTGGGACTGTGCTCCTTGCCGTTGATTGAAATACTCACTCGATCACCATTCTTGTAACCAAGGGATTGGATAGTCACTGGGATTTTCGTGTCTGAAAAAAGTATTGAACAGATTTACTTTTATTCCATTGCTAAGAACCATCATTAGACAAAAGATATATATATGACGTAGAAGGGCTGTACATGTATTACTGGTATGTAGCTACTGTATCAGCAGCAAGCACTAGCATTGTGTCCCAAAAGATACATTCACATACAGCATAGCCCTTTCGCAGGAATTGCCTTATGCTGCTAGATAAAAAATTTGGCATAGATTATTATAAACGCAAAGTTATGCATAAAATAACATGCATTGTACAATCCAGCATTCTTATCCACCGAGGCCATTACTCTTTATGTCAGCATGAAAAATTGAGACCTCTTGCCTCACCCAATATTTTTATCTTGTTTATTACATGTTACATTGATTTTCTCTTTTCTTTGTCTTACAACCCAATCGGATTTGAAGAAAAAACATTGCTGGACAGAGTTTAAACAATGTTTGGTGCTGAACAAAAGAACAAGCCATTGCTCAGTTGCCCTTACCTATGCTTCAAATGAGTCTTAGTTAGGGTATGATTAAAACCTGAGCACTGGCAAATTGACCGGCTGTGAGAATGATTTTTCCCTCTTAGTTTGACCATCTAGAGAAACGTTCTCTTATAAACTAAGAAGTTCAATTCTAAACAGTTTAATTGCCAGGGCTCGACACTAACTACTCAACTTACTAGCCTAGTGGCTAGTGACAACTTAGATGTTACTAGCCAAAACTTTTTTTTTACTAGCCAAGCGTTTTTCTTTGAAACTTCCTTGGAAAATCATCGAGAACCCGAAACATCATTGTAAGACTTGAACCGTTGATACTTCTTCACAGGAAAGAGGCCGAAGAAATGTTTTAAAAGCAAATCAACTATCCGAACGATACTGCAAACTGTTGCTGGCGAAATTTGACTGCTAAAAACGGCTGATTTTAATGTCGAAGGAAATAAATCTTTCTCATTCAATTGTTTCCGTAGTAGTAAGTTTTGTCAGTATGCCTATGACAACAAATCACCCACGTGCTGTTGCGCTAAATGAAATGTTATCCCTTTACAGTTCTGCAAGATTTTGCGCATGATTTTATCAGGAAGCTCATGTTTTGTTGCTCTAATTTTGTGACAAAAAAGAACAATGATGAGTGCTTTCAGAAAATGCCATCTTGTTTGAGAGATATTTCTTTCAACATAACAACATGTGTACTTACCCATTACATACCACAATGCAGCAAAAAGTAAACAAACTTAAATTCGCATATGTGATGTACAGCACGTGCCCGGTAACATGACACATTAATGAAATTCTGACCTTGTTTTCAAGAAAAGTGTTTGCGTATAACTTTCTTGTGGAAGACAGAAACTAATTCCGCCAATTTCATTTTGTTTACTAGCCAAAGTGGCTAGTGGAAATCAAAAACCTACTAGCCAAAACTAAATTTCTACCAGTCTGTGGCTAGTTGGTTACCATTAGTGTCGAGCCCTGATTGCCCAACTGTGAAAAACAGTTGACCTCCTGCTGAAAATGCTCATTAAACTCCCTCCCATATAAAAATGACAGGGGTGCTTGTCGTACCTTTTAGGGGTTAAAAAAGCAGTTTTGGTACTTCTTAGGGTGCCCAGCCTCAAAAAGTCCACAGTGGGAGTGTCTGTGGTACCTTTTAGGGTATTAAGCTGCTTTGTTTTAGTATTTATACCTCTTAGGGGTGAAAAAAATTTCAAGCCATGCCTACAAAACAGGACCTTGGTACCCCTTAGGGGTTCTTTTCAAAATTTCCAACAAGCAACCCGTCGTTCTGATAATTATGGGAATCCCCCCCCCCCAACTGGGATTAAACCCCCACTTTTGTGCAGAAACTTTCATATGCAAACGAGTTTTTCTTACATGTTCACTGTCATGCAAATCAAACTCATTTCCAACTCAGAAAGCACTTATTGAGGACTCTAGAACTCTCCTTCACTGGTGCGAAGGAGAACAGGCCTCTAGGAATGAGAATATTGGTCATTATAATCCATCAAATATTTTCGCTAGCGCGATTTGTCTAAACACGTCACGCGACCGAATTTTCCCCTGCTTAAAACTGGGGAATGTGCGAGAATATTCCCCAATTTTCAAAACTGTGTGCGTTGAGAAAAAGATTTAAAGAATAATAAACAAAATAGCCTCCATTTGGGAAGAAAATATACCCGGATATTTTGTCCTTTGACATTATCTGTTCCTCGAAGCTCACAGTTTTCCTCGAGCTATGCTCTTGGAACACTGTTCGCTTCTCGGAACAGATAATGTCTGCGAACAAATATCCTAGCATATTTTCGCTCCAAAGGGAGGCTATTGTTTGTATAGACCAAAACGACCATTCAAGGGACCGCCACACTGGAACACACTGGTAAAATGGCGAAGAGGACTGAGCAGCCAATACCATACAAATACCGCTGACTGGAAGTACCAGCTACTCTTCGTTGTTAACTTTCAATTGTTCAATTGCATTTAACAGCATATAACTCACCAAGAAAACCAAGCATAACAAGAGTCTTGGCAGCATGAGTGGAACACTGCGGATGATCGCTGTCTCCAATTGCTAACTCCATCAACGGCTTCAATCCGCCTAGCATTATGATCTCTTTCTTAACATCATCAGATGTCATGGCCATGTTCAGCAAAAGAGCAGATGCCCAGAATTGCAGCTCAGAATCAGCAGATACAGAATAGGCCAGCACTGCTTTTAAACCGCCGTCCTCAAGAACCTTGCTTTGTAAACTTTCTGAAGAACATTAAAATTGTGGTATAATCTCAATGACAAGATTCACTGGCTTCGAGGGAAATACAGTTGGACCACTCTGATTCAATCAGGGTTTTCTCTTATTCCCTGCTATTTCGAACTCAAAATCACTTCCCTTGGATTTGCCTTTCAGTCGTTTTTTTTTTTTTTTTTTTTACCAGTATCAGCTATTTCAAACTATATTTCGTTTCCTCTCTAAGAGTTTGAAATAGTTGGGTTCAACTGTAATTTAGAATAATAATAATTAGCAGATCACCCATATATAAGGAACGAACTTCCAGAGACTTGCACTGTTGCGTTGGTTTCATTGTATGGAAAAACAAAAGGTTTCTTGTGTTTCCATTTTGAGAAAAGAACCGCAAAGATGCTAGTAGGAAACATAGTGATTTTGCATATAATATTAATAATAACTCTGTGTCATGCCTCAAAAAAAGAAATTAAAATCAGCATAAAGTTCACAGGCAAAAATTCAGCTACATGTACATTTGAGAAAAGGGAAAAGGAAACACCCAAAGTTTACTTTCAACCGAAGATTTTATGGGCAGTTCTTCAGTAAAATGTATACCAAAAATAAACCATTGGATTCTAAAGTAAATTGTAAAGTCTTCCTGCAAACAAAAGTGCCCTACACAACTAGAACCTGTCCACACTGGTTTCTTTAAGCATGGTGTAACCACATTATCTGAGTGAGATGCTTAGAAATCTAGTCCAGCTCTCTTACCAATAGTGCAAAACAGACCAAGAAGTTCAGCCACCAAACGAATCAAGATGTTATCTTTTCTGCAAGCCAGCGGCACAAGAGACTTGATGATGTCGTTAGCTACAGAGAGTACCCTCAGTGCTGCAGCACGATTTGCTGTTGGAGATCCTACAGCAAAGAATATTTAATACAACTTACATGTACTTTGACATTATATACATGTATTTTCTGTGATCTAACACACTGTAACTTTTTCATCTGATGCAGCTAAAAACTTTAACATTATTGAAAATGTACCGGGGCACTGCTTTCAAATTTAGGCTTACTCAAATGGCTTTCTTGTTTCTAACATTGCTTGACTGCTCTTGCATACATGTATATGTATGTTCCAAAAAGACTGGAATTTTAAACTATGGTTTATAAACTGACGGTTCATTTTACATGCAGAACTGTTTCATTTTTGTACATTAAATCCATAATAGATATAAATGAGAATATTTATTAATGCAGTATCATAGCCAACTCAGAGATCAGCTCTGTGGTCAGTCCATTCTACCCATGTGTATTGCAACATCTTGCTTGCCCTATTTCCTTGCTGCTGATTTTGTGTGCTTTTAGGTATTGGCCCTAACTACAGTAATGCTCAGAGATATGTGAACTATCAAACGCATTTGAAACTCAGAGTAAACCCATTTGCCTTTAGAACTAAACGCATTGGTAGTCAAACGCAAATGGACAAAAATATGTTAATGCTCATTAGCAGATTGATCACACATCAGGGGAGGTCGGGGAAGTGGGGTGTTAAGCTGTGGCAGAGGATGCCATGATAATTTTTGTTACTGCTACTTCCCTATATATTTGCCATTTGGCTCACTTATTGTTTACTCAGGATATCATGGTCCCAGGTACATGTAAGTACCGACCCTCCACATTTCTGAAAAGGTGAACCCTTAATAAATAGGTAAATAAATAAATAAATAAATAAATAAATAAATAAATACATCATTACAAACCTTCAGAAAGAATAAGGTCATGAAGTAGAACCACTGCCCAGTGGACAATGTCATTGTCACCAGAAGCAAGGCAGACAGGCAGCCTGGCCACAAGCGAAGAACAGTGCAACACATTAGTCCTGAATGATTGGTTTCCAACACATAAGAAGCTTAGCACGCGCAAGATTAACCTCTGTAAGATTGCTTCACTTGAACATAATACACTCTGAAGTGATTTGATAATGTTTGGGGTAGCACAAATCTCTGCTTTGTGGAGGTCTTGAATGGCAAACTGATGTAATAATCCAGCAGCCCAGTACACAAGGTCACTGTCATCTGTTTAACATAAGTAAAGAAAAACATCTCTTGACAACTATAATGTTTAAATTCTAAGGAAAAACCTGGTGATGGATTAGTGCAGATTTGATTTGATGGCAAGAAACTCTCTTACATTTCTCAGTCTCCCAAACTTCCATTTGCGTAACTACAATTATGATAGCGTTTGAGGAGGCAGTTTGACTTGAACGATGAAACCATAATCTACAGCTTTACATATGATTTTAGTCAACAACTTGGTTTAAACCTCTGCTTAATAATTGCCAAGTGTTACACTTATTGTGCTGCAAGAGATGGAGAAAATTACTACTTCAGAGCCTTCCTTGCATTCCTTAAAAGCAAATTATCTATAGAGATGAGCAAATGCAAATCACAAATCAACTTGTAAATACAGCCTTCTCACTACCAATCTTAGCAAACAGAAACAAAAACTACATGACTTGTACACGTGTGTGTCTCTAAATCTGTTCCCGTTTTCTTTTTTGTTTCATTTCTTGTGTGTTTTTTCCTTTTTTATTTCTTATTTGTATATTACATATTTTTTTCCGACTTAATTAATTAATGATTTGTTAATAGTATATAAGGCTTTTGTAAATTAACTTGTATATTAGATTAGATTCCAAAAAAGATGACTGATTGTTACACTGTAATTAGAAAATTAATTATTACATTTAAAAAAAATATATTGCGAGTATTGATAATAACATTGTAATTAGAGTTACATGTAGTAATGTATTAAATAAAGAAAAGAGTATTGTACAGTAAGTATAACAGCATTGTATTCGAGTTAATTTTGTAAGTAATGTCACTAATTTTTAAAGTAATGTTTGGATCTGTCAATTAATAAGTAATGTAAGGTTTGTAAATAAGATGTGAAATTCATATTAAAAAAACAAGAGAAAAAAAAAAAAAAACTGAACTACAATTATGTTAGGGTGTCAGGAGGTGGCATGGCCGAATGGCTTAGGGAGCTGAAATTGAAATCTGGAGGTCCCTGGTTCAAATCTTTCTCCACTTCCGCTATCTGGATTTGTTCTCCGTAGCCTCGAGTTCAACTACTTGACTGCATTGTGCAAATAGCCAACTGGTCAGCCTCCTACCAGTTTGGATTCTTAAAGTTTATGTTCTATTTGCAGTATTTGTTTGTTTATTTACAGTGTCCCCAATTAGCACAACAGTGCTAATACATTTGACATTTAAATAAAGTTATATTTACTTTTTATACAAAATGTACTTCTACATTGCATACAGTATTTCTATTTCTGAGATATTAGATAAATAAATTTGAAAAACAACAGCATTGTAGCTCACCAGCTCTAAGAGACACTACAGCTGGTTTAAAGACATCATATTTAGCCAACTCCTTAAGATATACCACTTCATCATCCGTGTTGTTATTAACAAACATCACCATAGTGTGGAGACAGGCTCTCATCAACACAAAATCTCCTTGATTCCTGACAAGCATTTCCGAGACAGAAGGTATTACGCCATTACTTAAGAGTTCGGGCCGTATTGAGTCACAAGCAGCCAACTGATGAACCGTAAATAGACACCATCGCATAGCCTCTTTATTCCTTGTCTCCGACATCAGTTGTAAAAGAACTGCAACGATGGAAGAATTTGACTGCGCTAGACGAACTTTGGTCCTTTCTTCGTCGTAGATAAGGTGAAATAACGATTCTGAAGCGCACCTTTGCAGTCGAAGTTCGTAACCTCCCATCTCCACAAGACTTCTGTATCCAGTCTGAACTGAATATACAAGGGAGTGAGAGAGCGATTCCAGTATCCCGTGGTCTATCAACTTCTCTCTTTCGCTGCGTTCGGAGTTTTTCACCAACATCGCTAACACGACAACAGCTTTCAAAACTTGAAACTCGTCTTGGCTGTAGCAAGCGCCGATGATGAAATCAAGATTTTGGTTCTTCATTGCTCTGTCCAACACAACCTGTTCGGCGCTCTTTCTCAGGGAATAGTTCGACGATCGCACGAGAACTTCCAGATCTTCCAATCGAATATTATCCTCCATTTGTGAAAGAGGTTTTCTGGTACACTTTTCCCTGATGAATTTTCGAAGTTCGGCGACACAAAGAGCAGTTCCTAGCCCTGAAAGTAGGCCAGCAGCGATCCAAAGAGCTCTTTTGTTGTCGAAGGCCATGGTAGAAATGGCTACTAAGATGGAAAAACAGTTTCAAGGAAGAAAATTGTCGGCAATCTTGAGAACACTTCGACACTTACCGCCATATTTCGAAAACATCGCTAGTCTCGCGTTCAGCTTCCCTGCAAGAGTTGACATCGATCTATACTTCATATATGTAGTAACTGAAATGGCTACAGAGAAGAAAAAACCTGAAATTGGCTGAAAAGTAAAGAAAATGAAACGGATCTATTAAGAACTGATTTCTTCACCACATATTTTCTCAGTTTATTTAGAATGTGTAAAGGTGTCCTGGGAAACTATCTTCTTACAAAAAAAGATACTTTAATTTCAAAGTTTGAGGACAGTATCAATCCCCATATTTGAACAACCTTGATCGCACCAAAGCATCCGCTGTCAGCAGTATTTTCATGTGCGGACTCGTAAGTGTTGACATCGTCGTCCATCCGTCCATCGTAAACAGCAAGATGGTTAGAGATCTTTGCTTTATAAATTAGAGTTTTTCTGCATAGAATCTCGTTCTAAATTTTGATTAATTGTAAAAAAGTCTTATTTATGTATTTCTAGGGAGAGAGAAAGGCTGTCAATAAATATTATCCACCCGATTGGACCCCAGAACAGGTCTGTTGTAAAATGCCGTCCAATTTCAAGTCTTTTTTTCCCTGATTCAACAGACTATAGGCTCATTAAACTGTTAAATACTTGTATTTGCGCAGGGATCTCTTGACAGATATCATGGACAGCACCCGCTGCGTGAAAGAGCAAGGAAACTTGGTCAAGGAATTCTTATCATCAGGTAACAAGACAGTTAAGCTTAATTATTTATTTTCTGATATTCTGTAGGTTTTCCATTCCTTGCTGGGACACAGTAGGTACTGTGGTAATCGAATGGTTGTAGTTGTGTACACTGTTATAAACCCGTCCCAAACTGTACTTTGCTTGAATCTGAGACATCTCTTGAACAGAGGATGAATTGCCAGCTGTAATTGACAGTTTACATGACATACAGTAGATCGTTAAAGTGAAAAAATTATATTTGAAACTCACCACTCACAACAAAATTGTAATTATTGTCCAATTTAGATAATGCAACCACTGTATTACTCCAGAAATATTCATACCCCCATCTCCCCTCCCCTGGGACCCTGTGGAGGCATGGTGGCTTCATGGTTATCGAGCAGTCTGGGTTTGAACCCTGGCCAGGGTCATTGTGTTGTGTTCTTCACTTTACTCTCACATTGCCTCTCTCCACCCAGATGTATAAATGGGTACCGACGAACTTAATGCTGGTGGTGACCCTGTGTGGACTAGTATCCCATCCAGAGGGGATGTGGTGGGCGGTGGCGGTAGAAACACTCATAGTCGCTTCATGCTACAGAAACCGGGATAAGCTCTGGCCTGATGGGCCACTTGGCTCATATACAGACATAACCTTTTACCATCATCTCCTCTCCCCTTGCAGTACAAAATGGAGGATTGCTATCATAACCATATAAACAGTATGGTGATTTTGACTCTTATTTCATGGGGTGGATATGGACATTATTTTTCTGAGACTGCACTAGCATACATCATCAAGTTATAATGAATGCAGGAAGTTTGGAGAGCATTAAAGAAATGTAAAAGTTGCTTGAAGTGCAGTAGTCTCTAAACAGGCTCTCTAGTTAAGGATGCAGGAAGATAGAGGATAGAAGAGAGAGGAGTTCCAATGCCCCAACCTCCACCTCTACCCCATTCCTCCATCAATCACCTCACTCTGATCCGCCAGTTCCTTCTAGGACCTTTCAGCTGCAATCAGACACTTTCACCTGGGGCCTGTTCACAGACTAGACGTGCAGCTGAGAGCCAACCTAGCTTCTTGAAAGCCTTTCAAACTGTCTGCTAGTTCATAACTTGATGATGTATGCTACTGTTAATGAATCAGTAATAATATTATTGTTCAATAATATTGCCAATGGAATTAAATTTCTCTTGGGAATTGTAGTCAACTTTACTCATGGTATGAGACTTCCATCATTTGATTATGATGTACACATATTCTGAGCTAGATAGCATGGCTTGCTAGCTATGTTATTTTATTGGTATTGTTCATAATAGGTTTGAGATGCCATATAATATATGGTGTGGTGGATGTGGAAATCATATTGGAATGGGTATGTCTATAACAGAAAAGCCTTGAAAGTAAGAAAGATTATTCTCTTGCAGGTTATTCCTTAGTATTATATGGCTTGTGTTTGTAGCCGTTATAACGTGCACTCTGATTGGCTAACTCTAGGGTGTTATTCTCTCGTAATGCCCATGAGCCAATTATGGGTCTGCAAAGACAAAGCAAAAAGCTATATGACAGGGCTTCTGATAGGTCACGGGGAAAAAAACAAATTTCATGGGATTTTCAGAGACAAATGCATGGAAAAAGTCAGTTGATTTCGTGAGAAATGAAAAATGATCAGTGAAAACAGCCAATTTTGTGGGAATTTTCTGAAAATTGATCAGTATTGCACTGATTTGGCGAACATTTTTTTAACAAAAAGAGACAGAAATTTTGCCTTTTTCTCGGAAAATGATGCATGTTAGCCTATGCAATAATAACAGCAACAGAAACACTGACTACTAAAAAGTGTTGCCTTTGTAAAACCGGTGATTTTGCAGGAAAATTTGAGCAACTCATTTGGACCATCGTACATGTTTGTATTTGTTTGACCATGAGGTTCTTTTTAGCAGTGATCATCATTTGCTCTTTTTTAAAACAACAATGCACTCAAGAAATGGGCCAATGACAAAGATTTTTACATCATGGCCACAGTGAGTGCCCCACCTGGTAGGTTTTGGGTTTTGTTTACTTGTTGCAGTGAGGAAGTTTCACTACAAATTTGCAAGTTTACGGCAAGTTAACAGCCCCCAACAGCCAAGATAAGTTTCAAATATGTTGTACCAACATGTACTTGGTATGATTTCTCGTGAATTTTGTGGTATTTTGCCTGTTTTTGTGAATTTTGCAGGATTTTGCGGATTTACTTGAAATTTGCAGTTCCACAACTGCACAAAATATCAGAAGGCCTGACAGAATAAACAACTTGTTAATCTTGAGTGCTCAATCTTTACTGGAAAATCCCACACCTTGGCCTTGCTGTATTTTACTGCTTGGTCAATACCACATGGTCTTGGTTTGGAATGTTTCAGTGAAGACCTCACTCGTGGTTAATAAAGAGTTAGAATTACACTGCACGTCCTGACTATGCATGTATAACACAAATTTACATGTAATTGATACACAAACCTTAAGCAATCAGTGGCTTTTTCTTTATGGCTTAGCTTGTCAGAGAGAAAAATCGTCGTTACCGTTACATGACAAAACCAAACCGTGTGGAAGCCTATCATTTTTTCTTAATCTCTCTTTTACCCTTTATTGTTTTAAATTTTTGAGTCATCAAATCAATTACTGTGGCAGCAGAAACATAAATACTCATTCAAAAGATAATTAATTTTCATTTCTTTCATAGGTGTACGCTACAATGCAGAGAAGAAGAAAGTTGGTAATTACTACACAACACCCATTTATAGATTTCGGATGAAGTGTCATCTCTGCGACAATCACTTTGAGATTGAAACTGACCCTAAGGTAGGTAAATAATGCATGTATTACAAAGCAATACAAGGCGGTGGTCTAAGAAAAATTGCAAGGAACCCAAAGGTTCCTAACCATGAAATCCTGGGTGCCCAGCACTTAAGCGTATTTGAAAAATTCAGTTGCCCAAGGAAAAAACTAGTCACTTGTTGCACCCGGGTGCTTCTAGGGCACGGCCCTGTAATATGGAAATATAGCGTGTGAAAGAAGTGTATATTAACTACAGTAATAATACAAACTGAACCTAATAAAATTAATTATATATTGATTAACTATAGCTATAATTATTCACTGCTTGTAAATTGGACAAAGTTTTGGACCAGTAAAAATGTAAATTACTAAATATTGCAGTCAAACCAGGTGAAGCATACCCCTCAAGATTACATTAATGAATTGATTATCCCGCTAATCGTTTCAAGAATGCAATAATGAATTGATTATTTGAATATTGAACTCGCCAGTCATTTCAAAAATCAATATTGAATTGATTTTTTTAACATTAAACCCATTAGCCATATTCTTAGAACGACTAGTGGGTTCAATTTTCCAATAATCAATTCATTATGTCATTCTTGAAACGAATAGCGGGTTCAATATTCAGATATAATCAATTCATTTTAATTGTAATCTTGAGGGGTACGCTTCACTTGGTTTGACTGTAAACAGTAATAACATAGACTATTATTTTAATAAGAACTTCTGCCTGTATGTAAATTTGGACTATTCTTATAAAAAGGACTATTCTAATTCTGACTTATAACTCGTTAGAACTCTGTTTTCCTTTTGATTTGGCAAGGCAGTCTGGCTGGACAGATCTGTAGGGAATATAAATCTTGTAAACCATGCCTTTGTTGTTTTTGTGGTAGAATTGTGATTATGTCATTGTAAATGGTGCAAGAAGAAAGGAAGAGAGATGGGAACAGTCGGCAACAGAAGCTATTGCTTTAACAGGTACCTTAGGTGTAATAAAAATTATTTAATAGGTAGATGTGTTAACTAAAGTCGAATGAGTTAAGTCCATGAGAACACTTTCTTAAGAAGATATACAATGTTTCAGTTTGGAAGAAGCCTCAGCTTTGTCTCTCATAGAATGAGATTTATCTATCTTAGAAGAAAAGGGGGATAGTGGCTGCTCTTGCTTGTTGTAAACTTATCATAGTTTTTTCTTACTGCCTAGGCAGTAACTTATTGTGAAACTGTTATTACACATCAGCTGGAGCTGTTAGTAGTATATCTCTAGGTTCAAGATCTCCTTGTCCATAACCAGGCTCCAGGTAAAATGAAAAGTCAAGGGTTTGGATTTTGTAATTCATTGGGTAACAAAACTTGTTTTATTTACAAGTAAGGTCCTACTATCAGAGGAGCCTTCTTGGGTTTACCATCGTAATGTCTTGTGCTAGTTTTTGTTCCTTTTCTTTATAATTCTACTTTGTCAGACAAGGAAGATGTCAAGAAGATGGCTGTTGATGCAATGTTCAAATTGGAACATGGGGTTGAAGACAAACAGAAATCAAAGGAGGCCTTACCCACCCTAGAGCAGCTGAAGGTACTAGCACGTTTCTTGGTGATATAATTAGTACGCTGGTACGTGAACTATTGCCTGAAAGTTAAAGGTGTGGAAAGATTTGATTCTCAAACACGTATGACTTATGTCTCTGGTGGTTGTTGCATAGGTTCACTCTGTGCTGCTCTCTTGTATCCAGTCTCATTGCTCGCTCAAGTTTGGTGGGCGAGGGGTGCAGGCTCCTGTCTCAAACAGCAGCTGGTAGTCAAATTTAGTTGTTACATTGTGATCTACGGCTCTATAGTTCTGTGTACGTCTTGCATGCCTATTATTCAGCAATAACTAGCCACATGTACTCGATAATTTCTTTAGGAAGTTCAGTCCATATGGAGTGATGATTATGCAGCCAATCAGCTGCTCAGAAAGAGATTTCGAGAGGAAAAACAGGAGTTAAAAGTTCAAGCAGCAAAAGATGACGAGTTGAAAGAGAGAGGGGCATTAGATGTCGCTCTTGTACCAGAAAAACAAGAAGACATTGAGCTGGCCAAGAAAATCAGATATCACGGACAAGGTGGGTTGGAGTCTTTGATGCATGCTAATACTACTAGTTCCCCAGTGTGACCAACCACTAAATTCTCTCTACAATTTCCAAGCAAGCAGGTGATGAGAATTAAGAAAATCATCACCTAAGAGATATTGTCTTGATCTACTACCAAATTCTCAGAACTGAAATTAAAAGAGATGTGTGACATTAAGAAAGGAGAATAGCAGAAAGTTCTTTTTCCCTGTCTGTCGTGCTGTTCCATCGGTATCTTGCTAATAACATTTTAAGCCGTATGGTTTGGAGAGTGGACCATCAACTCAGTGAACTGAAGTACAACATACGTGAAAAACCTTGTTGCCCACAGTCATGGAACGGAACAACGTTTTTCGTTCGAAATATTCGGTTGCCAAGGATGAAATGAGTCCGCGTTTGTTGCAACCCGTCACGATGACGTCACGCTTTTCACGGCACTCGTGAATACTCAACCTCGTTCCCTGGCTCTCTCTCCTCTGCCTTGTCGTTAAAAGGTGGAGAAGAGAATAAAGAAAGAATAACACTCAAAATATCTTCGGCTACTGATAGGCGCGTCACGTTATCTTACAAGGGAAGATTGCGCGGCATGCCGAAGGAACGGCTTCCTAGATAGTTGAGTATTTTTTTTCTTTTTTTCTTTCAGGTTTTGATGCGCATCGTCGGAAACGTCGCTCTGAAGTCAACAGTAGGCCCCTGTTTGATTCAAAAGGAAAATCCGATGTAAAAAGACAGAAAGTGAAAGAACTTCTTGGAAAGAGAAAACAAATGCAGTTCAGCCATTTCATATCGCCTCCCAAAACGAACAGCAACCTGGCTAAGCTCGGTATCAAGGTTCTTACGAATAGGTCCAGAGAAAACAAGGACTCGGACATCTGCCCAGATAAAGGGCCTTCAGATGAGGGGGGCGCCCTAACAGGTGATGTGAACTTGAGTCAAACAAGGGTTTCCACTGTGCTCGACTCGCATAGTGGACTGGATAAGAGTGGTGGTTCTGACCTAGAAAATTGTGAAGGGCCTGACCTGGAAATGACGTCACAAACTGAAACACGTGACGAAACCGAGGATCGCCTTTCAAACCAAGGAGAGCGCATCTCAAGTAGTATTTCAATTTCAGATGCGAAGGAAAATCACAAGTCTGGGATAGAAATGTCAAATAATTTAACACTGAATACGAATTCTTCCGTCACTTCTTTGGTGTGTTGTGATTACGCCGACTCCAGTGATGCTTCAGACGATCTTACATGAAGCAGACGACACAAAGATGGAGGCTTTGACAAATAGCCAGTGGAGTGTTTTGCCTCATGTCTGAACCACTTGCTCGCACAGCCTTCCTTGTATACTTAAGAATAAATCAAGTGAGCATTGCCTGCAAATAATCTTTGTTTTCCTGTTCTTTAATTCCCCTGCACAAAGTTTCAGGAGCCCTTTGCAACAGTTTGTTAGATCAGCGCCAAATTAGAACAGGTAGTACAAAAGAGGCACGGGACACTAGGAATTGGACGAAATTAACTGAACTGACTGAAATTCCTACGAACTTTTCCTCTTGGGTTTTCCACACCAATTTTAACTGTAATTACGAAAGAATCCTTTCCTTTCAGGACAACACGGACTTTTTATCCAAAAAAAAAGGCATTGTATAAACATGACCACCTACATAGCGTAAAATTTCGATAACACCCCCCCCAGCGCCTCCACCCCCGTCCCTACTCCCCACAAAAACAACAGCAGGGACCAAAAAAATTGAGTCGATCAATTAAATGTTCTCTTGCTTCTCCAACTATGGGATTTTTAATTCCTCAAGTTTGAAAAGCAACACTTGTTATTAAAGCTTAAAAAATCCAACCTTAGATGCAAGGGTTTCAATTGGAGAAGTGACAGGCTGAAAATCTTGTACCAGGGCAAGACTGAAATGGCGACATTTGTTAATGTTTACCGCCTGCCGTCGACGAAAGTTTGATCACTGATATTAATGACATCAGTGAATTTTTAAGTTCTTTTGCTGGAAATCTGATCACTGCTAAGTCAATATAGTTATCTAAATCCGGCAAGAGTGTACAATGAAAGAAACGGTATTGGGTGGTGGAGATAAAATTCTAAATTTACACTTAAAGCGATTGAAAAAGCGTCTGATTTGCATTTCCGCACTAAAGATTAGTTTAGCTCTAGGCAGCTATAGGGAGCAAGTCGAGAAAAAGAACTGAATTTATCTTTCAAACCCGGTTCTTGATCTTTTGGAGGGACTGTCAGATTTTGCAAATTTTCAATGAAAGAAGCCAACGTCTTTGTCCTGGGAAACCCTTTTAAATAATATTAGGTTTTGAATTGGTATACTTATTCTTAAAATTGGATCCAGTTTATTTCTGGCATATTTTCGGACTGTATTTATTACTTGTTTTTTGCTGTGGCAATTGTCTTCAGAGAAGCAATTACTTAAAATTTCGTCTACATTTTATATCCATGTTCTTCAATTTAACCTCTCCATCGCTCAGAACTTAACCTTGATTAAAACGTCTGAATCGAATTCAGATCTGAAAATGATTCTTTATTTGAATTACACAGATTTATCATGAAAGAAATATCCTTAGCAACTACGCGCATAGAAGAAATTCTACTTCTTTTCGATACTGGTCCTTTCTAGCTTCATTCACAACGGAACATTCTTTTCACCCCATTTCGAAACAACCGACTTTGAAGCGAGTATAGAATTGGATTCACACTAGCGCTGGCTAAGACCAAAATAAACATGACCACAAACGTGTTGTCGCCGATTTCTTGAATTGCACCGATTAACAGCGACCCTTGAAGAATTGCCCAGGGCAACCAGAAAACGTTGAAGGCAATAATCACGCTGAAAACGATTCTTGTGATCCGTTTGCGGGATTTCAACAACATCTGACTTGTCTCCTTCGATTGTCGCTGGAAACAATGGCACCAAAGATGTCTAATGATTGCCAAAGAAGTTCGTAAAATTATTCCCATTGGTATAATGTAAGCAGCTATTAGATCTACAAAAGCAACGACTTTGAAACCGTTGTCGTTTATGAGAAATGCTAGACAAAGTGCCACCGAAGTTCCATCGAATGTATTCGGTGTTTTTGCCATTAGTAACATCATTGGCAAAGCCGCGATCAAGGCCACGATCCAGATTGCTGCGAGAAAAATGCGAATATTTCGCTTGACGGGCGCTGTTCTGTGCCGCCAGGGGTGAACAATGGCATAAAACCTGTCTGTTGAAATTGCTGCTAAAGTCAGAACGCAGTTCTTGGTGGTTAAATCTATAATTACTGTTGTTACTTTGCAGATGACTCCTTCAACTTTTGGCCGCGTGAAATTGCCGTCGCTGAGATAATGATTTCTGATTTGGCCAGCGAAGAACAAAGTTCCAAGGACCGAGCAACACAAGTCAGAGACAGCTAAATTGAGGAGAAGATAATTAAATGGGGTTCTTAGTTTCTTGTTTGAGATAATAAGAGAGCAAACGATAAAGTTTCCTGTTATCCCCGCGAGTAGAATAAGAGGCGTCACTACTTCGAAGGCAATTACGGCGTTTGTTGACATCTCTGTGCGCAGTCCAGTTACTTTCTACTGAGTACAGTTTGTTACACGAGAGTCGCTTGATGATTACGTCGATCTTGAGAAAGTTGTCTCACAGTTAGTTAAATTGCATTTCCCGTTTGTCTTAAAAAAAAATTAAGCAAGAAAAATCCTTTTTATAATATTGTACACTTAGGAAATTACATTTTGCGTGGGCGACCAATTGCAAAGAGGAGCTAAAAACCTGGAGATTTAATGATTCATGTCATTTGCATTATAGTGAAAAATACTTGTGTGTCATCGTGGTGATTGAGTTATATTGTCCACAATGAAACTTAAGCTGATAGAAACCTCACACTTCGCAAATTTCACTTTTTGAATGAGGCTGTTTTCAGGTGTTTAAATAATGAAACTAGACTTGATATCAACTGAAATAACTGAAAGTTATTTATAGCTGTCATGAACTTTGTGTTGTGTTTTTTTGTTTCAGTACTGGCGGATCGAGGGAAACTTGAAATAATTAATTTATCCTTTTTCTCAAAATGAAATATTGCTCGAAGAATGATAAATGTGAATATTGAATAAGAAAAGGCTGGTCTATGTATTTATAAAAACAATGAATATTGTAAATGGCATTTATTTTCCACATCAAATAAAGAATTGGTTCTGCTTAGCGTGCGTATATCGAGTTATGGATGCACGCAGGAAGTTTGGAGAGCGCGAGAGAAGCAGAATTGCTCGAGGCGCAGCCGAGAGCAACTCTATCTGCTTGAGGTGGCTTGAGTGCTCTCCAAACTTCCCAAGTGCATCCATAACTCGATATACGCACAGCTAAAAGCGTGAACCAATCTTTTACAGCAGAGCGACAACAACTCGGGCGCTAAAACATGTTTTATTGATATGTGATTGACTACAAAGTTCTCACAATGCGCGGTGAAGGAAACTGAAAGGATCCTATTCCCTGGTCTAAAAAAAGAAAACTCGCCACGATCAGTTGAGCGACAGTTAAACGAAAGCGCTTCATCTGGTTTCTAAAATTATCGATGAAAAATTCGCCCCTTCGAATTAATGAAAATGTAGGCAAACAGAATCAAAATACGCAATGAAAATGTAGACAAAAAGAGTCAAAATACTCAAGTTTTAGTAAACATTTTGGCTTGACAATAGTCAAAGGCTCGAAGTGGGGTTTGGATTGTTCAGAGTGAGGTTCACTATGCCGAAACTTTAGCGTAAATAGAGATTTTTACCATGATGTCTCAATAGGAATTAGGTAGGACCAGCGCGCACGCTCTGTTAGAGTATTAGTGTTTTGATACAGAATCTTAATAGTTGTTCCATGTGTTATTTTGACTCGTGAAATTTCGTGAAATTGGTGGGATTAATAGTCCGTAAAAGTGTGAATTCACATTTTTTTTCTTTTTGTGTGTGTGTGTGAAATATGTGAGACTGCTCTCAAGTTGACTATAATGAACTAAATAATCGAAGCTGATTGGTTGTTGGAAAGCCCTGTGGGCTAACTGAGGGATAATTAAAAAGCACATTTGTCTATTTACTGCTGTTTTTTGGCAAAGTTGCTTAGTTGTATCTATTAATAAACTGAATCGTGTGAGTCTGCTTTAAAGTTATCTATTAATAAGCTGAATCGCAAAGCTGCGGCTCCAAATATCATGCATCAAATTAGCTTAAAGTTTATAGTCAACCGACAAATTAATGAGGACCCAGGTTGATTTTTCCCTTTGCCTATCATGCGATGGGGTGCTTTCCATTTAGTCAAAAACTCCGGAAACCTCGAGTAAAAACTCTCAGTTTTGTAAATAAAGGTGCCGTTCCTTTGTCTCGATCCTTTTAGCATGTTCCGGTACAAGTTTGGTACTATACAGAGGTTTTGTTGTGGTAAACGCTTTTACGAAAAAAAATATTGAACTATTTAAATATTGAAATGTTTGTTATATCGAGGTCATAGTTAATGATTGATTTGTAACACAGGTGACTTCTGTCACGCAATTCAATGCACCCAGAGGTGCCGCGTTTTGAGATGCAATTCATTAAGCATGGTGGATTTCAGTGTCACTTACTTTCACTTTTGAGCAGACGCGCAGCTTTTGTTTACAAAAGAGCGACACTTTCAGAGTAGCGATTTAAAAATCCTGATGTTGCAACATAGAGGTTATACAGAAAATTGTCTATGTAAACAAGGAAACGCTGTAGTTCGTTATATCGAGGTAGATTTTACGGTTGGGCTTCCGGATTATGTTCGTTATATCGAAGAATTCGTTATATCGAGGTTTGTCATATCGAGGTTCTATTCCATACATTTTACTGTAACTTTGGCCGGGACAGAATATCGTTTGTTATATCGAGGACTTCGTTAAATAGAGGTTCGTTAAATCGAGGTTCCACTGTAGCTAACGTTGCTTGCCATACTCACTCTACCTACATTACTAACACAACTTACAATGCTAACAAAACTTACAATACTAACAGTGCGTACAATTTATTTGTGTCATTTTCATGGAGATTTATAGTATTTCTGTTTCCAGCGTTCACCAACCTATCCCTCTTACATTTTTCTCGTCCCAAGAGCCCCAGACTCAATCCTCAACCTCGTTTTCACAGACCCTGGGAACGAGGTTGCTCAGTCCTCAGGTCCGTAACCAAAATTTTACTTCTGCTTGTAAAATTCCGTTTATTGAAAACTGTTAAGGTCTGCAGGTGCTGTAACCAAATAGTTTGCTCAGATTTCAGGCAGTGGAGAGGGCTCGTGCAAGAAACCAGCGTTGAATTGGAGAAAATCTTAGTCCAATAATTTAGTCAATCGCAAAAAATCTTTCACTCGCGCCAATACCCCCCGGGCTAAGAAGGACGGGATGAAAAAGAGCGTTTCAAGATCAACACTAAAAGTTATTTTGTTGCAGAATCTTTTCTTCTTCTGACTCTCAAACAATAAGACTCATCTTCTGACCTCAGATATTCAAAACCTTCATTTACGGCACTCTGGAAAATAATGTCAAGTAATAGACAGAAAATCTTGTAAAATATATAGATCAAAAACATTTTATTAATATTAAGTGCTTCTGAGAAGTAATTTTAAAATTTGCTTAGAATATAAAATGTTTCGGAAATCTTTCAAAGCAGGTATGATAGCAACTGTAATCTCTTTAAAAAGTAGAAATATTCGCTTGCTCATAAATATTCTGTTATGCTAAGTGTAGCGTGATATTCAACTCAACATATTTTTCATTAGAATAACACAAGTAATTTAGAATATCTGATCACTGCTGCAACGTGACCCATTGTTGCACCTGCGTGCTTTTGTCCTCAAATCGTAAAGCAATACTCGATAGCATCTGGAATGATTTCTTCAGTTTTGAGCTTGTTATCAAGCGTGGCTGGTGCAGCTTCGTAAAACACGGAAATATTGCATGAAACTTAACCACTTTTGGGTTCGCGTGATTTGTGTTTTGTTCTGTCACGGAAAGGAATCTACTGAATGACAACTGATGGTTACAGCCTGCTGTATTTGACAATGAAGGTTTACGAGGCAAATCTACTCATTGCCGTTGTCTTAATATCGTTGTTCTTGAAGTCTACCGGGCAGAACACAGGTATGTTGTAAGCGACACAGTCCTAGCTTGTTTGCAAACTCAGGTACGGTGTTAAAAAGGTTAAATGATTGAAAAGGCTCCGTGTGGTCACGACTCGTAAAGTCAATTACCACAGCGACACCTTTTATAACGATCTGTCACGATATTTCGCTGTATATATTTGCTCGGAATTAAGGATAAAAATTTATTATGATAAGACTGCGAACCTAGCAAGCGCTAATTTTCTTCGCTCCCAAGGACAAACAGGTAATCGATTACCGACTGAAGGTTTATACGGTTTAGTAACGAACCATTCTTTTGTGAAATATATTATTTTACTTTTAAAACGGACATGAACGTCAATGTACGGCCCCTCACTGTTTGCTTGATAATTTTCGTTGGACATACCCATCAATCGTGTAGTATAGATACTTGTCAGCAGTGAACCCTCTGTCTTACAGATAAATAGGGACAATTATTTAATTGTAAAGCACTTTGAATTCAGAGACAACTCAAAGCTAACAGTTCTTTGTTCCGTTGATATTAGCATCATGTCGAGAATTTTTGGTCTGCCGAGAACAGCCAAGATAAAACCAAGCTGTTCCCTATTGTAAGTTCGTTTGTAAACAGTGTGCAATGAAAAAAAAATTGCGGACAAACTTCTTGCATGACGGCCAAATCGTTGAACCATCATAACTGCAAATAAAGCGCCGTTAATTTCAAACAATATGTATGTTTATTTCAGTCTTCGTTGTGTTCATTTGAACGGATAGGCCTCATTGTGACAAGTCAATGCTAACTATTTTCGTCAAGACTCAAAATTACTTCATCATTTGACCTTTAATTTTAGGCCGTGTTCAAAATAAACCATTTATTCTACTCTTGCGTCGCTATATTTTTAATGCTTATGATCTTCGTGCATTGTTAGCCGTTTGAAAACGACGCTTCCAGCTGAAAAACTGAGTTTTATTTTTCCAGCCTATCTATGAATAATATTACTAGATGTTAATGGACTTGCCGGTATATACTAATGTATTGTAACAACTTTGAATTCTATCGATTTTTATTGGCTTGAAGAAGTATATATCTGACGTTTTGCAAAGCAGTTTTTATAATTTGTCTAAAATACTTTTAAAAGGTTCATTAAAATTTTTATATGGTTTACTGATTCTTTAACGGCTATATACCTTTTAACTTATTTTCTACATATTTTATAATTCTAAAGTTTCAATATCGACAATGTGCTAAATTCACGCATTCTAGTATAGTTTTGCCAAGGTGATTATTTGTCAATTTTTCTCTATGAAGACTCTAAGCCTGAGACATAATAAATATTTTCATCGCGTAAGCAGAAGATCAGAATAATAACGAACATCTATATCGCTTAGATATAGTCACATCAGACTTAACTGCGTCACAGGGCCGCTTTTTCGTGGTACCCAGTGCTCCGACGCCGCGTAGCAAATGATGAAGACTAGGAACTAGGTAACCCGGAAATAGTTTATGTTAAAGATAAATTAAAGCAGTTTTCGTTAGGTCTTTAGTTCAAGACTTACGTTTAATTTACTGAGCTTAACGTTCTGAGAGAAATTTAAATCAGAATAAAATTCAAATTTCTAGCCTCTACCAGCTAAAACATCGTCTCCTTCAAAATAACAGTGACGCACGAGTTATCAGACTTTCCAACCATGACATACGCTTTCGATTTCGACTGGCCACGGAATCTTTTTTATATATATCCAGCTACATACAGAACATATATCAAATTAAAGAGATAGAACGAGTTGTTATTTAACATTTGCGGTGGTATTTGTAATTCCCTTTAGTCTATCCAGGCCTATAATCTGTTTTGTAGCATGTGGTACAGTCTTGTTTTTTCGTATAATAGCATCTACCATTGCTTCACAATAGGCACGCGTCATTTTTTTTCCCCTCGTGTTTCAGTTTCATTCGTAATTTGAGTTACAATCACACAGTTGAAGTTCATGTTTGTTTTCTTAATATATATTGTACATGAACGACTCAATTTGTAAAACTTCAATAACTTCCTTTCGTCTGTGTTGCTGGCAGCTAATGGTTATTATAATCCATTAAATATTTTCTCTCCCGCAAGACTGGTTCAAACGCGTCACGTGCCCGAAGTTCCACAGCTAAAACTGGGCAATATCCGAGTGATATTCCCCAATGTTCAAAACTGCACGTGTTGTGAAAAATATTTGAATGGATAACAAACACAATAGCTTTCATTCGGAGCGAAAATATGCACGGATATTTGTCGTAGGACATTATCTCGAAGCTCACAATTTTCCTCGAGCTACGCTCTCAGAAAACTGTCCGCATCTCGGAACAGATAATGTACGTGGCCAAATATCTGAGCATATTTCCGAGCCAAATGGAGGTTATTGTTTATATATTAACAACGTCATTTCATTAGAAATTTATTCCCAGATGAAAGTTCTGCTGACTGAGTAATCTACCTCTAACCCACAAAACAGGTTTTCTGCAGGGATTAAATGCGGGCCGAGTTCGATCCCTCTTCTGAGAAGGCTATTGAAAGTAAAACATGCTCTTTGAATTAGCCCTGCCCTATTAATGCCGAAAGCGTGGATTACGCCCTGCAACCACACCCGCCTGCTCATATGATTAGTGTAGGGCGTGGTGTGTTTATCATCAGCATTTAATTTTTTAATCTCGGTAACCCAAAGAAGAACGACAGACACATGGAATGCAAATTTGCTCTTACTACTGGCAGCACGGAACTTGAATAAACAATGAGGACGGCGACGTCTAGGGCAAGGCCCGGTCCAAAGCAAAAAAAAAAAAAAAGAATTTACTTTTTAATTAATTTTTCAGAATCGCCTGTATTTTTATTTGTTTAATCATTTTCTACCTTTACGCAAATATGTAAGACCATCCGTGCGTCTCTCGGTTTAAGAACTAGCGTCAGCTCAATATGCAAAATAAGCGTTTCACTCCAAATAGAAACAGAAAAAAATTCAACCTTGTGGTTCACTTTCAGGCTACAAAATACTCTAAATTTGGTCTAAATTTCACGTTGATTTTTTTAAAGAGTACAGCTAAGAATTTGTACCAAGGTTTATTCACTATTATTGCGTTCAAACATTTTGTTTCTTTCATTACAATCAATCAATACAATGCAATCCTTTACGGCGTAACCGTAATGAATTTCTGAACCTCTCTATTTATAATCCCAATCCCGCCCTGTTTCCTGTGAAAAGGTTATAAATATCTTCTACAGAATAACAATAACAATAACTTTATTTACAGAAGGGGATTCCCCGTATTAATTTAATAAGCAAGTTACGTTTCGTTTTTGGTGATTAGATAATAAACAAGAACTGAGGGATTCCCCAAAAATGAGCTTACGTCATCACCTACTCGTATGCGCGACTTTCCATGCATAACGAAGTGAGTTCCGTTTTGACTGATAACAGCAAGAAGAATCTAGAAAGAGAAACTGGAATCTCGGTGCTTGGTTAAATCTTGTCCGAATTTCTCCGGCCCCGTTTCATACTACGCCGGAGAAATTTGAAAGCAAAACAATCACCGGTCTTTATGGACTTGTGGTCCAGAAAAACTGTGAAAGGGAAATCACATGAATTATATCGTGATGTCATCGTTTTTGAAAAGCTCTGTTTTCAAAATGTTTTTCGTCCAAAACTGAAACGAAAATTCCTACGGTTTGAAGATCGTTTTCGAAAAGCTCCGTTTTCGTGACGGATTTGTGTGGACGGTAGGTCTAACCGAAGAAAAAAGCTGCATGTTCAAATTTCTCCGACGTAGTGTCAAGAACGGAGCCTCGGTTATCAGTTGAAATTCCTGCCAATTCTTGCAGTAAACTCTTTGTGGATTTCAGATCTTAGCTATAAGTTAAAAAACGTGTTAGTTGTCAGCTGACAGTTGAAATTTTGACCAATTCCCAGCTATAACAATTTACAAAGCTAATTGTAAACATTTCTGTGTCTTTCTTTTGCAGTGTTCTGCAACCAAACTTCCGATAAGCTACTTACAAACTTTTCTTTCTGCCTAATATATGAAATACTAACAAAAGCTAGATGTTCTGCTAAAACGTTCTTCAGAAATGTAACAACGGCCAAGGTACATGCTGTTTCCGACACTATACTTTACTTTAAAATCCTACGCTCCTCATTAACAATTGCTACTAAGTGTCAGTATTCTTTTTATGTACAATATTTACAAGTTAAACAGCACGCTTCGCTGGTAAAACATTAGGTTTGACAGTTAAAACTCATTTTGGTATTGCACTATACTTATTTTTGCTAACAGGTAAGATTCGTAGTAATTTCTATCATCATCCCTAAACGCCCGATACCATGCAAAGAATTTATCATACGCACTGTGGTTTTTCTGGTTTAAGCAGTTATCTGAGACTCAGCTGTACACTGCAGTATCAGGGAAAGTTTGAAATCTTCTTTCGTCGCTAAGAAAACAAATAAGAAAACTGAAACTTACAAGCTACATGTAACCTGTGTAGAAATCCTCGATTGTAATTTCTATTCAACTTAGCACAAGCATTAAAACTGTTCGTTGAGGTCATGGCATGTTTTACTTCTCATACGATCACCCGCTGTCGTCCTGGTCATTCTCGCCAACACCTGACAGGGAAAATAAACAAACAAAAACAAAAAAATATATAGCCATTGACTACGCTAATGTTCAAATACTTTAAAAGGCCTCAATTAAACAGTTTCTTACAAAAGCAGCTACCTAATTACAAAACTGATTAAATTAACGCATTCGATTCTGCTCACGCTCTGATTGGCTCACACTATAGTTTTTTATCTCGTATGAAACAAGAAAATCTTTTTTTTCAATATCACGTCCAAGTAAATAAGCTAAAGCCATGAATTATTCCGTCATAAAAGAAAATACGGTAACTTGAGACCACATGGAAAATATGGGAAGTTATTGTCTGCTGGTATTGCTAAGAACGCGCTTCGCTTTTTCTTCTTTCAAAAATTGTGCTATATCACATACACGTTACGTAATTTCGTGCTCTACACTCTCATGATCGACAGAGCTAGTTATCAGTTGGAAAAGAAAATACATCAGCAGCACAAGATCAAGAGACATATGCTAAGGAAATAATTAGATATATAAAATAATATGTAACAAGACTAATAGTAAATAACAAACAGATGAGTCTGCGGGAGAGAAAAAAAAAATTATTACCATAATAATAATAACAGTTGTTATTATTATTATGGTAATAATTTTATTTTTTTTCTCTCCCGCAGACTCATCTGTTTGTTATTAACTATTAGTCTTGTTACATATTATTAGATACCAGTCTTTTTCTTTTTCTTCGCGTTTAGATATATAAAACTAACCCTATTATAACCGAAAATAATACATTGATCGATAATATGTATGGAAAATTGTGACTTAATACCATAAGCCCTTTGCTAGAAATAGAAAAGGCTCGTGTTTTGATCGAGTCTTACCTTTCGTTCCAAAATCAAATGTCACGTCATCTCCAATCAGTATAAAAGGTGCCCACTGGTTCACGTCATAGCCCTCATTTCTCATCCACTTCATGGCCTCGTGTAGAGATTCACCAGCACTTTCCCCGGCAACAAGGTGATCGTAGAATTGACCCATTAACTGTTCCGTTGATTTGTCATGCAGGGCCCACAGCGCTACCAACACTGAGCGTGCACCAGATCCTAAGAATGCTCGGGCAATTCCAACAACTCCCTCGGCTTTTGTCAGTCCACGAGCACTGTGGCTACAGCTAAGGACTACCAGTTTAGCTCGCAGTTGAATTTTTGAAATGTCAGACATTGTCAATAAGTAGAGTCCTTCTTGAGGTATCCCGTTAGGAACACGAAACGATGGTGCAAGGGCAATTGCTCCCCTTTCTGCATCACCGTGTGCGGCGATATGAATCAGGGCCGCTGAATTCATCGCTTGAAGTACCGCATGCTTAGTCGCTTGCTGCCCTAACAAAGGCTCGACACCCAGCTTTTCTCCTACCATCCTCGCTTCGTTTTCTGCACAAGGCAATCGCGAAATGTCCGTGAGGCGTCCTTTGAAATGCACTTGACCAACATCAGGATTTCCCACTATCAATGCACCGGTCTGACAGTGATAGTCGGCTGGAATTTCATTAATGAGCTGGAGAGTTGTTAATGAAGGAACAACACGGATCCTGAAAGTCTCGGATAAGTACTTTCCACTTTCGTCGGTTAATGCGGCAAATGGAATGCTGTGTAAGGCGCGATCAGGAACAATGATGATTTCAGGGCCCTCAAGTAAGTCTGCCACAGGAGCGATGATCAGTTTGTAACAGATAGGAAGGTTCATTTTGGGTCCTTGGTTGTCTTTACTTTCGTTTACACTTCGCCAACCTTCATGGCTGTTTTCCTCGCATGATTTGGAGACCGGCTGAAAATCATGTAAAGATCCGTCCTCGCAAAGTTCCTCTGGTAAAACGCCAAGACCTCTGAAGTTAAAGAACTTCTTCAAACGTTGACTTAATCCTTCGCAGGCTATTAGATCACTTGCTTTTTTCAACTGGACATGTGTGGCTCCGCTTCCTTTAAGAATCCACAAGTATATGCTGTCACAAGAATATGAGACGTACAAACAGGTGCGGTTACACTGTTTAGCGACGATGCCCTCAATAGCAGCGCATCTTCGAGGATTAGCAGAGATTTTATTCTCCACAGAGTACCGAGCTGACATTAAATCTGCCAAAGCCCTGGCCCTTGAAAGCTCTGAAACATACAGAGCTTCCTCAGGATTTCCGGTTGCACTGAGTAAAGAGCTGAGTTGCCTGTAGGAAAGAATATTGCAATCCGAGAATGATATCTTAAATTGATCGTTGTCTCGGAGGGAGCCTCGAATTTCTTCGCATTTTTCGATAGCAGAAAAGAAATACAAGATAGCTTCTTGAATCTTTCCATCTCTCATCCTAAGGCTTGCCATCATCTGGAGCAAATCGAACTGACATTTAATATCTCCAATCTCTTCACTTAATGTAAGTCCCTTCTTGATATATTCTTCCGCTTTAGCATATTGAGCCTGTACGAAAAAGAATTGTCCAAGCTGGAAGCAACCTTGCGCTTCTAGGCTCCTGTTTCCAATTTCTTTGCTTATCGCAAGTGCTTCTTCAAAGTATTCTTTTCCTTTGATATGCGCACCTACAGCGTACTCCACCAATCCTTGCGTGATGTAGACTGACGCCACTCCGCTTTTGTCTCCAATGTCTGTTAGGATGGCAAGGGCTTTCTTGTTATATTCGTTAGCTTTTCTATAATTTCTAAAGTTCCAAAATTGAGTTGCCAGATTATGATAAGAAATAGCTAGTTGATGTCTGGTGCCAATTTTTCTACTCATAGCCGATGATTTTTCCAAGTAGTCTGAAGCCTTGTCGTATTCGCCAACTGATCCATACACAGTTCCAAGGTTTGTGTAACAGGTGGCTTCACCAGCTATGTCTCCAATTTCTTTGTTGATCGCAAGTGATTTCTCGAGATGTTCTCTAGCCTTTTCATATTCGCCAACTGATCCATACACATTTCCAAGGTTTGTGTAACAGCTGGCTTCACCAGCTATGTCTCCAGTTTCTTTGTTGATCGCAAGTGATTTCTCGAGATGTTCTCTAGCCTTTTCATATTCGCCAACTAATCGATACATATTTGCAAGGTCTCTGTAACAGCAGGCTTCTGCCTTTCTGTAACCGATTTGTTTACTAATTAGTAGCGCTTTTTCATAGATTTGCTTTGCTTGGGCGTATTTACTCTGATGTAGATACATTCCTGCAAGAGCTACACTTAGCACACATTCTTCAAGTCTTTCGCCACTTTCACGGTAAATTTCGAGAATTTTTTCTGCATATCTTATGGCGCTTGTGTTATCATTGATAATACTACAAGCTTTCCGCATAGTAAAATATAACCTCTTGTAGAATGACTTGTTTATTTCCTTGCCTTTTAAACCTGCTGTGTCTTTGAGAATAAATAAGCATTCCTTGCATAATTCGATGGCTTTTAAAAATCGATTGGTGTGGAGGAGGAAGCTTGCAACAATGAGGCCGATTGAGATGACTTGTATAACTTCGTCTACGTTGTACATGTCAAACACTTTCTGTCAGGATATATCAGATAATAAACCTGTACACAAACCTGGAACCAAGTACGTTTAACCATTTGTTAAATGCTGTTTTCATATATAACCTGTATCACTTTACTAATTAGTAACACCTATATACTGAAGAAATATTTGCCTCTTTGTTAGTTAGTTAGCACGGAAGTTATCAGCTCAAGTTCATGATTCATCGCACAAATCTCGCTAGATATTTTGGTTTATGTTGGTTTAAACGGACCATGTTAAGTTCTGAAAATGCATCAACTTGAAATCCAAATTATTTTCGGTTTCACTCTGCTTTGATTAGCACACGAGTTTGTTATTTGGGCTGGAGTGTTCTGAATACGTAATACACAATCATTAATTTAATCATGCAATTGAATTAGGTGGAAAAAGATCAAATATCGAAAGCCGTTTTCAACAATAAAGGGACGACGATGACGGCAACGAGAACGTCACCAAAAAAACCGAAAGAATTAATGACTAAAACAAAGCTGTGCACATGCGCTATAAATCTTTGTAGATTTCTTTGTCGTCCTCTTCAAAACAAGAACGTTAAATGACCAATTTCTGCATAGCCTGAGAAACGCGAAGGACGACGGCTAATTTTCCGTATTTCCATTTGGAATTGAACGCTGTCATTCAATATTTGGCTTGGGCACGTTTTAATAACCATTGGGGAATTGAACAGATCTAGACAATTGCAAATTTCGCTGGTTAGATATAAATTCATATTTGGGTAGGCGTCGTCCTCGGTGTCGGCGTCGTGTTTGCTTAAGCTCCCTTCTATGTCTATCCAGACATGCGCATAATTAAGCCAGCACTGTTTTAATCTATTACCTTATTACATGAAATTTTGGCGACGCGTTAATTTAACGATTTTGGAAAACCTTATTTAGCGGCACTTTAATTTAGCGATTTTTCGTAAATTTTGGAACATAAGTCACTTAATGTTTGCGATTTCACGAACTGAAACTTTGACGATTTAAGGCATTGAAAACTTTTACGAGGACGATAGAACATTTATGTGATAAAATCATAGACGTTAATAGCTTCATTTAAATCACAATCATACAACTTTTCGAAATTTAATTTTGAACGAAAGAAACGAAACTGCAACTGTACTGTCCTATCTTAATGCTGTCCTGACTCATATTTGCACTGTCACACAAAGTCAATGCTCCTTTTACGAGTAGCTAACCATTAACATTCTAACGACACCGATCAAGTTCGGTGGATTACTTCAAATAGATCAACAGGTCTCAGTAGTTTGCCTCGTTTGGCAATTTCCTTGACTCACAAAACTGAGAATACATTTCCTTCCTTCAGCGCCGGTCAGAGGGTCGTATAATGCGAGAAGCCAGCCTGCGTGAATTGGCTTCATTACTAACATCCTGAGATGAACCTCTTTGTTTTCCAAGCTTGTCCCACTGTCTAACTGCCTTTTGAGCCTCTCCCGAGTACCAGGTGGTAAATTTCTCTTTGCAGAATTTCTTAGCTTGGCCATTAACTGATTGTGTGAAACTGATCACATGGCGGTATTTCATTTTGTACTCACTTTAATTAAGCGACGATTTAGATTTAGTGACTCCTAATTTTGATGCATTTTAATTTAGCGATTCTTAGAAAAATCGCTAAATTCGCTCAATTAAAGCGTCGCCAAAATTTCATGTAATAAGGTATCACATTCGTTCTTAACCAGCTTCATCAGAGACAACGTTTTAGAGCAAAGTGAAATAGAACTTTCACAATTTTGCTGTCTAGCTATTTCATAGAAATGTTTTCTTGCTATTAAGGTCATTTTTGTTTGAAGAACAACCAATGACACAGTAAACACTCACCACTTCCTGTTCTCTCCGTTTCAAGAATACAAAAGCAACGATAGTGTCTCTTTACACTGGACTTTGTTTGTCTATAGGATAACAGAAAAACCATCAAAAGTTCATTCAAGACCTGTATATGCTTTAACAATTCTGTTTTTGTCCCTCTTTCCATGCAGATATAGAAACGCAATGCCAAAATTTATTAATCATAAAGGAACGACGGTGGCGCAAAAAATTGAAATATGCAGACAAAGGTAAATCCCTTGGAAATTGAAAGCCACAGACCAAGTTAGACAAACATGACTTAAGATTCACCGAAAATCTAAACAAGCACAACTGGACGTTATCGCCGAAGGTAAGCTCACAAAACTGAAAGTCACATAAACACAGGAACACGCAAAAATGAAAGTCTTGGTCACAGACAAAGATAGGTGTAAAACTTCCACTTCACAGACAAAAATAAACATGGAAATCTTAAGATCACAGATAAAAACGCCCAAAACTGTAGCCCACACACAAAGCTAAGCTCATGTAGCTGCCAGTCAGAACCTAAGACAGTCGTGCAGAACTGACAGTCACAAACAAAATGAACACAAGAAATAAAAACCACAGACGAAGATTAGCGAGCATGAAACTGAAAGTCACCGAGGATTGCTTTCTAAGGCATGATTTTTGTATTTTGAACATTACAGCTATTCCTTTATGCTTTCAGTATTTCAACTTAACATTTATGGTCATAAAAGCAATGCTTAAACTTACTATTCTATCCGTTACTTGAGAAGTGAGCTTCGGAACGAAATCCAACGTTAACTTCGCCCTTGTGAGCAACAAGGCTCTCCCCCTAAAAAGGACGACGATACATTAGTACTTCATTTCAATAACTCTTGCGAGGCATTTTTAACGCACAATAAACCTATAAAACGAGAGCATCAAATAGACGATATCTTATATTTAGCGTAAGTTTACTGTTCTTACCGTTACTTGAGGAGTCAAAATCAGAATCAAATCCAATTCAGTCTGGTTCAGCAAAATGAATCTTCCTGTGAAGTGACAATCAATTTTTAATAGCGTAAAAATCTTCTGAATGCACAGTAACAATAAACAGAACATAAAATAAATTATTAAAAACAATATATGACTTTTCTCCACTGTAATTAAGCTATGTACGTAGAATTTTGTTTAGACCTGAGCTAACCCAGTCACGAAGTTTGAGCATCAGTTTTGGCTTTTGTGTGACCTCAAAATAGTCAAGTGCCCCCAAGATTGACATGTATACAACCATTAAATCCGAAACCTCTACAATAAGAAATCGAATCTTAAGAAAGTGTGGAGAGGCTGTACTATTCTTAGAAAAATGAACATTGATCATCTCTTGTATTTTCTCCTTATTAAGTAAAAAATTATCTCGTTGAAAATCGACCAATGATACGTACTTACCAAATTAGAGTTTCAGGGGGTTCCTCGCCCCTTCTAAGGACGAATTAAACCAAAGATAAATCCCTCGCTTAATCACTGCGTGAAGAAAAACAATCATAAGAGTGTCAGCTCAGAGCAGGAACTTTGTCCGGGGATGATTGTACGTGGAGGTACTATTCTCCGAAACTGGGGCCCCGCTTCTTGAAACCCAAAGCAAAATTGGCGAAAATATGCGATTTTCTCTACCCAGGTAATTTAACCGTGACCACAACCCGATACCCAAATTCAGACTTGATCCAAGCTACCGACTGCTTCGGTTTGGATAAAAAGTCCCTCGAATTCCCGACGTTTTTTATATTGCACCAATATCGCCCTTCCCAAACAATGAGTAACAACAATAAGGTAAGTTTCTTATGAGAATCATGCCTAAGTGTTGACTAGATCCCAAAACCCATACCCTATATCACACCAACATGGCCAAGATCTATGATTAATTTTAGACCACAATGGTTCAAAAAGCATGCCGTTTGATGCCCACTTATCTAACTTACGGCTTATGAAAGGGAGTCCCCCCTGACTATCACAAGGGGGAGGTTCAATAAAGTGTGTATGGATGAAAAGTAATAAGCGATTAATAGATGGGGGTATTGACTATTAGAGGGAACCCGAATCAAATCAAATGTGTACTCACCACTAATTCCCTTTCAGAGTGTGAAGGAAAAAAACTACAAAAGTCTGGTACAGCTTGTTAGATCACAACAAGGACTTCAAGGAGTTTGTCTGCAAGATAACAGAAGAATCATCACAGCCTTGTTCATATCATTGTTGATATCATTGTTCATATATTGTTTACTTGTTCACATTCCATACTTAAACTAACACCAAGATACTAAACAATACAATGAAATACTACGAGAGAACTCCAAATCCCTATTTATGCTTTATTACTTTAGAGAGTCAAAGATAAACTCTCACGCATCAGAATCAATTTACTGAGGCTTTTATTTTTCCATTCCAGTACATATAATTTGAACCAAACGTGAATTTGAATCAGTTTTATGTAATGTATGGCACGGTTTACTAATCCTAACATTTCCATTTCTATTAAACACGAGTTTAAATCTCTCAGTGGACAATTTATAACTGTCAAAAATATCTGTCTTGAGGTAAGCCTAGTTAGTTCTCTAGTTCAAAATTACGGTAAACTTACTGTACTTACCGTTCTATGAGAAATTCAAATCAGAATGAAATTAAAGTTTCCATTCTCTGTCAGCTGAAGCAACATCTCCGTCAAAATAACAATGACGCACGAGTTATCAGACTTTCGAACCATGAGATACGCTTTCAATTTCGACTGGCTCGAGAGTGTTTTTTATTAATACAAAACATGTATCTCATTAATGAGACAGAGCGAGTAGTTATTTCAAATTTGCAGTCTGCAGTAGCTATACTGACATTTGAAATTCCCTCTAGCTTGTCCAACCCTATCACTTATTTTCTGGCATGAAGTACAGTGTTATTTTTGCGTCTATAGCATCTGTCATTGCTACACAATGGGCACGTTTCATTTTTTCATGTTTCAGTTTTCATTGCCAGTTTAAGTCACAATTACACGGTCGAGAAACATGCTTGTTGTCTCATTATATGCTATATATATACTTTCTTTCGTCTATGTTGGCGACAGCTAATAAAGTAAATATGCGATGAGAGGACTGAGGCGACTCGAGTTACACTCGTTATTTTAAAACGGCGCCTTGTGAACAAAATAAATGTGTCATTTTGAGCTAATAAAATAGCAGTTCATTTGTTATTCAAAAATCTTACTTTCAGTAGGAAAAATAGACCCACTGGTTGCTTGAAAGTATTGAGAGAGTGAAATATTTCCCCGCCCAAGAAAAAAAGATTATGTCAAGTTTTTTTCAGAAATTGGTCCGGACAATTAAACACGGCCAATTAAAACAGGTGCTAATGTTCTCGCAATTTAACATTTTGACGCACATATCTGAAGACTTAACTAGCATTTGCCAAAGAAACAGAGAAAAGATAGAAAGGAATATGAAAAATGACTGGATTACCATCCGTTTTAAGGATTGATGTTCAAATATTCCTTACCTGTAGTTATCGTTCACCCGTTGCCAGGGGTGAGACTCCGGTCCCATATAAAAAGGACGAGGGTGCTCGTGGGAAATTTTGAAAAGAACCCCTAAGAGGTACCAAGATACTGTTTTGTGGGCGTGGCTTGAAATGGTTTTCACTCCTAAGAAGCACCAATTCTAAAACAACACATTATATTCTGTCATATATTTTCGGTTCAATACCGTAACGCTACCGCTCCCGCTGTGGACCTTTTGAGGCTGAGGTACCAAAACCGCGTTTGTAAGCCCTAAAAGGTACGACGAGCAGATCTCCTTACTTTTTATATGAAAGTCCCCGCTCCCATCCGGGGCCTGTTGCATCTTTCCAGTGCCCGGATAAACGTTAAATAATTTCACAAAGAAACAATTCGATAACATTGCTGGCAGTTCAGTGCCAGGCCATCAAAATTGAAAGTCGTAAACCATCACTAACGCGCGTTATTCGGAGGCATGTTCCAACTAAATTTACAGTATTTTATAAGGGGGCGCCATTTTGTTGTCCCTCAGAGGTGGTGAGACTTGAGTGCCATGTGTTTCTTGGGTCCCTCGTGTTATATAGGGGGGTGCCATTTTGTTGTCCCTCGGAGGTGGGGAGTCTTGAGTGCTCTGTGTGTCTTGGATCCCTTGTGTATTCATATCACATTATGTCATGAACCCCTGAATGAAATAGACCGGGAATATGATCTTTACCAGGCCACTCGGTCACTACCACTGCATGCTACCCCTCCACGACTTACAAACCATGGCTGCCCCTTCTTTAATTTTCTCTGCAGTTCTGCGTCACTTAGTCTACGAGGTCTTAGCTTTCCCTCCGGAGCCCAGATTAATGCCATCTTGGGATGTTGATTGGCATTCATTCTGAAGCCAAAAAAGCGAGGTCTGGGAGAGAAAAGAGGAGGGCTTTTCTCTCCCAGACCCCGCAGGTCGCCCTCGCGCTTTTTCCATCGTCCCCACTGGCCGAGTGTCAGAAACAAGCTACAGCCTACCTTCTTAACAAGATTTCTATTTCCCATGTAGGTCTGCCAGAACCCATTGCCTTTTATCCTCTCAACGAACAATACGGTGCTAAGGACATAAGTCAGCAAAAGAACCCGCCAGGAAAAGTAAGAGGCGTTAAGTATGCGCCCGGAAACTACGGGCAACCCGCGGGATCCTTCTACTTCTCCGGTTCTTCATCAAGTTACGTCGAATTCCCAAATAACGGAGGTCTTGACGCCAGAAACTCCATGACGTTTGTGGCCTGGATACGACCTGAAAATTCTGCTGGGCCTCTGTTTAATTACAAAGTGAATGACAGAGGAGTTTACGTCTGGCTTGAAAGCCCGAACAAACTTGTTGCCAAGTTTGAAAACCTGGCTTCTAATTTACCTTACGCTATTGAAAGCGACAAAATTCGGCTCAAAAAGTGGAATTACGTTGCTGCGTCCTACGATCACTCAGATGGAACTGCCAAGCTGTGGATAGACGGCAGACAGGTGTCCCGTTTAAACTTGGGACGCTCTGAGATCGCCACTCAGGGTGATGTAAGAATGGGCGCTTTGGTCGGTGATCCGCAATTCTACAAGGGCGCGATCGCGTGCGTGCAAATTTATAACAAGTCTTTATCGGAGCAGGAGATTAACGCTGTGAAGGACCGGTGTCCCATTGAAGGTAAGTAATCAAAACCTAACTTTAAGGTGTTCAGTCACGATATTTTGGGTTATTTTGGCCGCGAAAAAATCAACTTAAAATTGAAGGAAACCTGAAAATAATAGTTTACTATGATAAAGAAACACCAAGGAGATAATGATAAAACATAAAAGAACAAGAATGATAAAGGATGGAGAGGATTAAGAGGGATTACAATTGCAAACGACGAACCGAAGATCCCAGATTCAAGTTCAGTCCCTATGCTGTCACAAGCTGCTGGTCTGCAACAAATCGGCCTGGGTTGTTATATAGCCATGCAGATGGTTATGATTAGGCTTCTGCCACTTCGGATTGTTTGATATCCTTTAAAGATATTCTTTTTTCTTTCTAAGAAAGGGAAACAACGTAACACAGGGCTTGTCCTTCAAAAGGGTGCGGTTTGTGGTGTGGTTGTAAAAAAATTAAAGAAATTGGGTACGAGGTTGCTTTCTGATTCAAACTTACTTTGTTCGTAGATTTGATCTCACGGCCCCAGCTGTTTAAAACTTTTGTGGTGTAACTTACAATAGGTCCTTCGTATAGCATGTTTAGCAGGAATGAATACAATTATGTTATCCTTCATGTATATCTGCTAATTCTCAGTGTTGGGTTTTTCCACAGTGCAATCACACCATATCGGTTGCTATGCCGACAAATCATCGGCGCCAGGAATCCCCTCATTAGAAGGTAAAGACGTCTTGTTAGATGGTGACCCGAAAACAAGAGCGGAAGCTAAAGAAAAATGTTCCCGCGTTGCTCTCAAACGCGGTTACGTCTATTTCGCCATTCAAGATGGCGGACGTTGCCTTTCGAGTCTTACTGCGCAAGACACGTACAGCAAGTACGGCCTGTCAGCGGACTGCCAGGGTGGAAAAGGCGGGAAGATGGCAAACGATGTGTATGAAGTTATTATGTTCAGTAAGTAAAATCTATGGCTGGAATGATATCTACTGTTATAGTATTATGGGTTGTGCGGTGGCGCGGTGGCCTATAAAGGTTGGCGAGCTGGACTCCGGAACAAGCGGCCCGCATTCGAGCCATTACGTTTTGTTGATGGACAAGACACCTTACTCTCACAGTGCCTCTCTCCACCCAGGTGTATAAATGGGTACCGGTGAACTTAATGCTGGGGGTAACCCTGCGATGGATTAGCATCCCATCCAGAGGGGAGTAGAAATACTGCAAGTCGCTTCATGCTGCAGAAACCGGGATAAGCTCCGGTGTATGGTCCGCTGGCCTGACGTAGACTTTAACCTTACCTTCATAACACGAACTGAATTAAATAGACGTGGATCTGATAAGCATGTTGGTTTACCCGACTCAGAAAGGGAGAAGGGACTAGGGAGAACTCTCGCCCTAGCTTCCTCTGCAATTGTCGTTAGCGTATTCAAAGCGGAGAAAAGCAGTAAGTATGCGCGAGTTTTGGCTGAGCGCTAGGCTCCAAGTTTGAAAAATAGCGGGAATTTCGTCGATCGTGTAAACCAAAAAAGTTACGAACTTCATATTGATTTCCCATTTTTCCCGGTAAGTAGCAACATTTTCACATCACTGATAGAAAACTGGAGGATTGTTTTTAAGGGCAATCGATTTTTTTCGAGCAAAATTTACCTGTGGAAGGTTTGCGAACCCTTTGTTTCCCCGCGGAATACAAGAAATTTCGGTGCAAAGACAAATTTTTCTGCAATCATTCTTTAAATATTGCATCCATATAGGCAATCCACTGAATATATAAGCAAGAGAGCCTCTCGGCAGTCAGGGGAAACCTTGTTTTCTCGAAAGAGAAATGCTGAAAAATATTCATGCTCATCCAAGTATAAATAAATCAAGCGAGCGACATCCTTGCGTACCTAATTACAATCCGCTGTTGTTTTTCGTTTTTGTTATGCTATAATTACAAGACGAACAGTTACACTACTTAGTACAAATAGTATACTTACATTTACACTTAAATCACTTAAAATACATTACGTTACCTACTTACAATAAGTTACGTTACATTATCAGTGGCGTATCTAAGGGAGGAGGTCCGCCACCTTATTTTGGGTAAAAGAAGAAGAAATCACAGATGGAAGAAAAGCCGGCAGGGCAAGCGCAAGCAAAATGAAACGTTCCCCACCCCTCCCCCCCCCCCCCCCCCCCNATCTCACAGAAAGATATCTTTACAGGCGATCAGACGTGTTGGAATGGATGGGATGCAATTCAAGATTCCTGCTTCAGACTCTACGACGACAAAAAGACCTGGACTGAGGCACAATCCTTGTGCAGGACAGAGAAAGCAACTCTAGCCACACTGAACTCGGAAGATAAAAACTACTTCGTGTTCCTGCAACTTGTCAAACCGGCCAATCCCAGCTCCAATCCAGTGTGGATAGGGCTGTCACGTGACACAGAAAACAACTTTCATTGGACAGATGGAACTCTGGTGGAGTATACCAACTGGGGCCCAGGCCTACCGGATAACAGTCCAGGAAACAACAAGAACAGCACTAAAATGAATGTGTACTCGGGACTTTGGGAAAATGAAGAGTTTGACTTTACACATCCTTTTGTTTGTGGGCGAGGTGAGGAAACCGGATGCATTATTTGAAAAAAAAAAAAACACGTTAAAATTTCGGACATCTTAATTTTCGGACAATTTATCTCATTTCGGTCAAATTTCGGACAACAATTTCGGACACTTTGCTGAAACATAACTGATTAAAAGTAGATTTACGCCTACAAAACAGGAATTAGACTGAAACAACGTCTCTGAAAATAATAGTTTTACTGCACCTTCAAGGTTTTACGAATACACCGACGAAAAAATAATACATTTAAATTCTGTCAAGCCGTTACATATCTCAAGCCGTGACTCGTCTTAAGCTCCCTTCATAAAGCCCGACATAGGGAAAACTAAAAGTATCTATTATAAAGATTGCGTCCATATGGTCTGGAAACTATGGTTATACTTTTATAAGACTAAGTAAGAACGTTTTTACGACACCTTTAGTTATTCCCTCAACACCACGAGACCTACATGTCAAACGGATGGACAGTCACTCAGCCCTGGTCACATGGACAAGTTCTGAGCAGTCGCAGCAGCGACTAGTAACGTCATATTACGTAGAGTACAAAGTGACGAATGGTGAACAGGTGTCACTCAAGGTTGTGCTGAATCATAACAGCACTAGTTTAACTGGTCTTCAGACACACGCTGAGTATCAGGTCAGAATCCGGGCAGTGAACGGCGCTGGAGGAGGAATATGGAGTGATTATCAGACTTTCTCGACTGGAATAACATGTAAGATAGGGCTGTCTAGTTTGTTGCTCTTGTATGTGTGTTCTAATTATACTTAATCATATCTTTTTGGTTCGCTTGGCCGGCATATCACGCAAGTTTGGACGGCATATCAGGCAAGTTTGGTCAAGCCATGGTTCGACGGTATTTTTGCCAGACGTNTATACGACTCCGTCGGTTCGTTACAATAGTGCATTTGCCGTTCTCTTTTAAGTTTCGGTCTCTCGACCTCTCGTTATTTCACAAGTGATTCTGAAGGGTTCTTAATGCTCTGTTACGAGGAGGAATTTTAAGTAGAAGTTAGTGGAGTGGAGCCATTTGATGGTGCTATAACAATTTTTTTAGAGGTCAAAGGCATGGTTTCCGGTTTTTCCGCTGTTCCTGTGCTTGTCGCTTCGCAGAGTTTGACACCTCCATCATGTACTTATAATTTCTTTAGGTTCATTTCAGTATTGCAAAATATGTTTTAAGCTCTCTAAGTATCGGCTCTGGAGGGACAATGTTAAGTTTGAAATATTCCGTGAACATGTTGCTTACTTGCACTCTATATTATGATGCCCGGCCCGACTATTTGATTAGCTCGCTTAGAACTGCTTGTAAGTACCGAAAATGTAGCTTCTTGACAGGTCTAATTACCTCATTGACTGATTGGCTACAGGCTTATCACCAAGGACGGATAGGCACATCAAAAACAAAGTCTACAGGCTCCCCTGCCCCCGCCCCGATCGCTTTGCTCTCCGAATTCTTCTGTTTCGCGCTCGCCGAAATTTGTTTCCGTCCTCGCTGGGAGCCTGTTCGCAGGCTATTTGGTTTTAAGAAGTAAGTAGCAAAATAGGGCAACCCTGCTCGGTCACAGATGATTAGATGAGAGGCGCCATGGCCTCATGGTTGGAGCGCTTGTCTCCGGATCGAGCGGTCCGGGCTCGAGCCCTGGCCGGGGACATTGTGTTGTTTTCTTGGGCAAGACACTTTACTCTCACAGTGCTTCTCTTCACTCAGGTGTATAAATGAATACCGGCGAACTTAATGGGGATCAATAACGCAGGGCATTCGTGGAAAGCAACTTTTTATTTAATACTTATTAGTATATTGGGTATTAGGCATTAGGCGTTATGTATTAAATATTTTTAGCTGACGAATTTTTACCGTGGTTTAATAAAGGTTCTCTATCTATTTAATGCCGGGGGGGGGGGTAACCCTGNCATTGCACTGTGTTCATGGGCAAGACACTTTACTCTTACAGTGCCTCTCTACACCCAGGTGTATAAATGGATACTGGCAAATTTAATGCTGGGGGGTAACCCTGCAGTAAAATAGCACCCAATCCAGGGGGGAGTAGAAATACTCTCAGTCGCTTCATGCTATATTACAGAAACCGGCCGACAAGCTCTGCCCTGATGAGCCACTTGACTCGCATGCAGACTGTTTTTTTAGACCCTTTTATACCATAGATGATCAGTGGGACTTATCTGCTGATCTTACGGTCGAAAATGAAGGTACCTTTAGCTAATTCAAGGGATTCGAAGTGCCAGAAAGATCTTAATACCGTCTCGTAATTCTTAAAGCCAATAAGAGTTTTTTCTAAGACAAGCACGACGGAGCAAAGTCACGCTTCCATTTCGATCGCCTGAGACTTGCGTACAATAGGCGATTTGCATGATGCCGTCATTTGACTACAACTATCAGAATTCTTCACTTTCTCTGTTTCTCGTGCTGATTAGCGCAATTGTTATTTCAACCCCTCTGGGACTTCAAAATTTAAATAATAAAGAAAAAACGAAAAAAATTCTGGTAGTTGTAGTCAAATGACAACAACGTGCAAATCTGCTATAGTCTTCAGACTAAGATTGGAAAAGGAAATTGCGGCGAGGAGTATTATCGTTCCTCCCGGATGGGATGCTAGTCCATCGCGGGCTGACCATCACCTCCCCACCCAGTCTTGCCTCCTGTATTTTGTCGGGTTGGCCTTAGTAGCGTACTCTTGGATGAAGAGAGATACTGTCAAACTAAAGCCTTTTGGGCAAGAAAAGGTCGAGTCAGGCATGATCCCAGGGCGCCTGTTGCGCTAACCAGTAGGTGAATATGCCTTCAAATAAATTTTAGAAATTGGCGTTTTTGACACATAAAGTATCCAAAGACTCCTAATACACCCAGAAAATGATAGTTACTGCCATGGCCAGTTGTAACTTACCTCTAGGATCTTACTTTTACAGTCCCACCAGTTCTAAAGCAAATGTGGGGGACTGGAACAGAGGGGGAGATGGCCATTAAGAAAGGAGAACGTTTGTCGCTGCAATGTGAAACGGAAAACACGACATTTGCACACATCACGTGGTACAAGGATGATGAGCCTCTACCTGTACAGCGGTCCTTCTCGAGAAACATGATCAGCATCCCAGAAATCACTGGTAATGATTTTGGTGTTTACGAATGCAAAGCCCAGAATGCATTGGGAGTGACCTCCATGAAGATGAGAGTGATAAATGGTGAGTTATAGATTGAAGAGACAAAAGAACACGTGACAGTGAGAATGACATAGCCAGTAGAAATTCGCAGGGTACAGTTGTGATTGTTACTTTGTCAAAGGGAGGTGTTTAGCATTGAATTGCAACTTCTAAGGCCCAGTCTACACTACGCCGGAGAAATTTGAAAACACAACAATCAGCGGTCATTTTGCATTTAATTTGTGTTTGAGTAAAACATGGGCAGGGAAATATCACGATTATCTTAACTTAAACGCAAAGCCGACGTTTTCAAATTCCTCCAGTTTAAAGAACGTTTTCGAAAATCTCCGTTTTCGTGACGGATTAGTGTGGACGGTAGGCCTAACCGGAAAAATAAAGCCGACGTTTTCAAATTCCTCCGTTTTCGTGACGGATTAGTGTGGACGGTAGGCCTAACCGGAGAAACCGTTTTCAAATTCCTCGGGCGTAGAGTAAGTAGACAGGGCCTAAACCACGTTACAGTGCTGCACGCAATATTGCAAAAGTAGAAGGCGATTCTAATGGTGGACACACGGGGTGTTTCAGACACTGGGCGCAACACTGTGTGTAGTGTTTTTCCATATGCTCTTAGATCATCGAGTAGCAGGTCAGGTAATGATTTAGTGCACACTTTGGGGTGCTTGCTTTGAAGATACGGTCCCATCAATTTGTGTTTTTCATTATAACATGATGGTTAGCTAAATCTGCAGTGTTATGTCAAATAGAAAGATATGCCGTTTGCTAAACGGCGCCTCATGGCAACTTGTTTTGTTATCCGGGGGGTGTACTCCCAGAAAAAATTTGGTGGGGGCGTGCGACCTGCTTCCGAAACTCTTACCCTATTAAAGCCCAAAATCTGCAATTTTCCCTACCTTATTTATGACCTGACCAAAACTTTAATGCCCTACTTATGACCTGATCCTTAAATCAACGACCGATGTTATAGGCATTATGAAGGCGGGGTTTTTGTTGAAGGTCTTATCGATAATGATGAAATAGCAGCTTCTTGTAACAAAAAAAAAAACAAAAAACATTCCCAATTTAAGACTCGAGGGCTAAAACCATACCGCATTTAAGACCAAAATGACCAAAATCGATATCCTATTTCTGACTCAAACGGCTTAAAGACAGTACCCTTTGGTTTCGCACACACCTATTTTGCCCATATAAGGGAGTAGCCCGTCCGGGCTTTTTTGTTTGCCTAAGTGACCCGTTGGGTCTTCCTTCTCTAAATCATAAATATTTCGTTTTTTTTTGTTTAGCTAAACTTCTGACGAGCATGAAAGTCGCCGTCGGTTGCCTAGCAGCACTGTGTTTCCTTTTCCTCGTTGTTATCGGCGTGTTAGTGTGGCTGTTAATCAAAGCCAAGAAGACAAAAGCTTCTGAAGACGATGAAAAACCAGACGAGAAATCACCAGTCAAACCAGCCGGTCCAAGACCAAGCGACAGCGATTTTAAGATCCCTGAAGCTCACGCCACTGGTTCACCTGGCATGGTTGCATCACATGGCAGTAATTCTTCTTACATTCCTCTTAAATCGGGAAGTTCGAATGGCGGCACTAGTCAAACCTACAGAGCCACATAATATCGCAGCCTGGTTCGACCAGTACTGTAAAATTATCTAGCTAAGGCCTCGTCTAACTACCCCGGACAAATTTGAAAACGCAGCTCTATTTCTACGTCTACACTAATCCGTCACGAAAACGTAACTTTCAATTCGAAAACGCCCTTCAAACTTTGCAATTGAATTTGAAAACGCCGGCTTTGAGTTTTAGTGTGGACGGAAAACATTTTGAAAACGGATTTTTTCGAAAACAATGACATCATGATAGTCACGTGATTTCCCTGCCCGAAATTTCCTCAAACACAAATCCGAAATGACCGGTGATTGTTGCGTTTTTAAATTCCTCCGGAGTAGTGTGGGCGGAAAATATTTGATGCGTTTTCAGAGTGAAAGCGCCGTTTTCAAATTTCTCCGGCTTAGTGTGTGGACGAGACCTAATATAGATGTAGATTATAGATGTTAACAACGAAGCGATCCCAGTTACAAGACAACAACGAGATTAACATCAAGCTACAGTAAATTAAAAGAAACAGTATTTAACAAGATAACAGAAGACAGTATTATAAATGCGTCTACTATATTAAGAACGCAGCAAAAATGAATGAATAAATGAATAACTTTAAGACAGCAATAATGGGAAGACGACAAGGATATTTTAAAAATGAAAGCAGCAACAATTAATGTTAACATTCTTGGTAACCTGGAGTGATTGAATAAGCAAAATCTTGAAGGAAAAGACGGCAATAAAATATTTATTTTAATACAGTTCAGAAACTCGATACAAACCAAGATATTCAGACATCATGCCTAGTTTCGTTGGATATTTTCACAGGGCAGTAGATTTTCATGAGCTTTCTAAAACTCTCATGTAGGAATTCATTCAGATTGGTTGCATTAGTCTTGGTCATATGCCAAGTCTCACACCCATATAGTAAAACAGCTGTAACGTTTGACTTGAAGATCTTCAGCTTCAGTAGTGTTTAGTTCCAGTTGTTACTCTTCCATATGTTTCTAAGCTTACTGAATGTTGCTCTGGCTTTTCCAAGTAGGCTTTTGATGTCTTCTTCTGACTGTTATGTTGGTCGAGAATATGGATAATTTAGTTGCCAATTTATTATACTTGCTTTAAATAGAAAATTGATCGAGCGATTTTATTTCCATGTGATTATAAACATTTGCTACTGTTTGCATGTGAATATATGTATGTTGTGACTAAATTATCGGCCTCCGGTTAAAGTCGTCAAAACACTCTGAAATGACCGATAGTTGGAATTTTCTCTTTTAATTCTACTTAATTAAAAGAGTTTGTAGCTAATCCAAACTATGATATGTCAATTCAAAACAACGTTATAGATCTCAAATCAAAACGTTCTTTTACACTTGAGAAAGAATACGAAGCCATGATTTTGGATTGGCTGAGTTATTTGACTTATTGGAATTAACGGCAATCTGCGCCGTGCAGAACGTTTTCCTAAGCGTCACAACTCAAGGCTTCGAATTCTACGGTCCAGCGTAAAAGCAGGTTTTTCTATTTTATTTTATTTTATTTTATGACGTTTGCTTATACTTCACAACACTTATGCTGTTACNCATTACTTTGGAAACAATGTCTGTCAAAAGATTTGCTTTGTAAACATTAGCACACACGTCAGCAGCGTACACCCATGGACAAATAGTAGACGCTAAATTAACCAATCAGAGCGTGCGCTTTGCTTTAGTTATGTTATACACCGAATAGATAGTGAGTGGCGTAGCCAATCAGAGAACAGCATTCGCGATAGAACGCTACTAGATTAATACTAAAACTCGATAGAAACATGGTACATGTACATGTTTTCTATTTTAAAAAAAACACGCATCGGCGGGCGCTCTTATTCATCGACAACAGACAATTTATTGTATTTTTATACAAGCAAAACTGAGCAGCATCAACAGACATAAACTTTATCATCAATTTTTGGGCCTTGACAAAACATCAAACGTTGCTTACAATTCAGGCGAGACTCAAACTTGCAATTATTATTATTATTTTTTCTTTTTTACTTTTCGGTCGAGATAGACTCTGGCGAAATCGTCGCAAACGTGTGGAAAGAGGAGGGAAACTTTAAAGTCTTGAAACGCTGCTGGATCCAAACATATCAACTTGTTTTTTGTTGTGTTAAGGAAAAGATGTTAATCTTCAACATATGTGAAAGTTACAGTGGAGTGATGTGGAGCTCTTGTAAAAGTAGCAGCGGAACACAACTTGGTCAGTGACATAAAGCGGGACATGACTAAATTCGACAATGTCTTACTTCATTCAAACTGGAGCAGCTTACGACGAAAATACTGAAGCAAAATTCCAACAGACATGAACGTATTGAATTGTGGGCCAAAAGCATAAAAAATTTCGGGAATTTCGGACGCCATTTCCCCGCGCTACATCCGAAAAAATCCTCGCAGCACGTACGCGCGTGTCCCGCACATGATGGCGCAATTTGTTCTAAAAATGGAAAAATTGTACCATATCATAGGGACAGCCCCAATACTAGAGATGGCGCGCGCTTACGGTCTCCTCGCTTGTATTTTTGAGAATTATTTTACAAAAGCATTAGAGTACTTTTTCCATGTTTACATAGCCTCATCTAAACACTCAAGGGGGTTGGGAGAATTCTCGAAAGTTATGCAAACCCGAGACGTAGTCGAGGGTTTGCACTTATTAAAATTAGTAAGTGTCTCGAATTTTCCAAACCCTCCTCGTGTTTAGACGAGACTATGTAAACACGGAAAAAGTGCTCTTTTTCTTAAATAGAAATTTTTACAAGATTAAATTTGGAAATACAGTTAACAATAAAGATTAGCGAAAAAACTGAGCAACGACGTTTCGGTGTCATCCTGGCACCATTTTCAAGTTAAAAAATATTTGTGCGAAAAGTAAAATTAAGATTAAGATAGCTGTTCAATGTTCATGTTCATTCCAATGAGGTGTCAAACACTGGTAATGAGTTCAGTGTCTGTTCAAAGCCTAAACAAATACTTTTGCGCGAATGGAGTCTGACTGTGTGTTAAGAAATTTTTACACGATTATTTCAGCTTTCCTACTACCAGGTCTCCTGTAGATTTTTATACAGTTTTGCTCAGGCCTGTTCGAGAGCTTCTCTATAACAAATAATTATACACCAATTGCTGCGTTAAATTGAAGACATTCACAGCTTCACCATTCTCATAATTAGTATTTTTTTGCTTGTTTCGATCGTGCAAACGGCTTCCTTTAAAAAAAAAAACCGGTCTGATTTTCATCTCAGCTCTCTTGGCGGAGTAGCGATATCCTTTCCAGTGATACCAGTTGACACCATCAGCATATGATGAGTGCGCGCCATGATGATAGACACCTTTCAGGTTGGAGTGATGACAGGTCTCGTACCACCACGCTCCTTTATGCTGCACAGCACAGTTGCTGCTGTAGCTTTCATTATCCTGATCTTTGGTTGAAAAGGGTTGACCGCGATGAAGAGAAAGAGAATCACCGGCAGTCCCTGTAGAACAGTAACCAACGCGCTAGACTACAGGTCCTAAATACATTTCACACTTCAATAAATTTACTTATTTTATTTTATTTTATTTTATTTTATGAGAAAGGCAGTTATCGTGGTAGTTTCAGTTAAACCGGAATAACTTTTAATTTTGGCAACCATAACTATCATGAGCTTCAAAAGCAGGAAGATGATTGTAAAATGGTCCTGTCTCTAGGTCTCAGGTCCCGTCCGGGACTACGCCGGAGAAATTTAAAAATGCAGCTTTACTTCTACGGTTGGACCTACCATTCACCAGCACCAATCCTTCACGAAAATGAAGCTTTTCGAAAACGCTCGTCAAACTGGAGGTATTTGAAAAAGCCGGCTTTGCGTTTTAGTGTGGACCAGGAGTCATAATAGCTCCTGCGTGAACGGTAAACATTTGGAAAACGAAGCTTTTCCAAAACGATGACGTCACCATGATCATGCTGATTTCCCTGCGTTTTCCTTCTTACACATTCACGAAACCATCAATTGTTGCGTTTTTAAATTTCTCTAGTGTACGCGTAGCGTGGACGGCGTGGACGACGTGGACGGATGCGTTTTCAGAGTGTGAACGCCGTTTTCAAGTTTCTTCAGCGTTGTCTGGACTGGGTCTCAAACACATACATTCTTTAACATGTCTATAAAAATATAAATTCACCAGCTAATAAATTTGGAACGAATGGATCAAAGCTGTCAGATCTCCTTCGTTGAATCGATATCTCGCTACAATCAATATAGATTAATTGCAGACAAATTATTAGAAAATCGTCAATTTTCTCATATTACTGATGTACGATTCAGTACTCATGGTTAAGAAAATCATGAGGATCAGAGAGATAATCAAGAACATCTCGATGAAATTTGTAACAAGCAACCGGGCAAGCAACGAACCTGAATACTTTCCGACACTCAACTGGTACTTAGTCCTCTCGCTCGTAATGGCAAACATGTCATATTCTGCGTAGGCTGTTTTGCCCTCTATATCTTCCAGGTCAACACGGAGCTGGTATCTTTCACTGTTAGTCAGGCGGTAGATTTTGTGCAGCCCCAACCAAAACTCGCCATTGAGATTTCCAAAGCCACTCTTGTACTCTGCCCAGTCGCGATAGAAATCAACGGAGCCGTCTATTCTCTTTTGGAACACTGTCCACCCCCCACCGGCTGTTGTTTGGTCACAGAACACATCAAAGGCACCTGAACCATCAGGGTCGATTGTGTAAACACCGCTGATTCTTTCGCCAGATTTGTACAGCTCAGCACAGTTCTTGTGGTAATCTAAAGATCAGCGTGTTAACGGCAATAAGTACACTGGGAATCGGAAAAAAGCTTCCATGCACATGGCAATGAGATATCACGAACAGACTGAGAGGGAATTTGCGTTTTCTGTTAATTGATCCTACTACGTCGATAGTTAAGTTTAAAACCATCATGTTTCAAAAAGTCTCAAAGTCTCTTCTTTAGTTGTTCTGATTTCCAGCAGAAGCCAGAATGTGATTTTTTTCCCCCAGAAATTAAAGTAAGTATCAAGGTGGCTTCGTTTAGCGCTGTACCTCATAAAATACGGATAATCGTAGTCCAGCTCTAGAAAGCCTGCGATCAGGCATTCATTTATTTTTTTGGCGAAGGGGGGAAGGGGAAATAGAATACCTGATCGTAGGTTGAATTCTGGACCTCTCTCTGTCGCGCAACGACTCTAACGTTGCGTGACGACGAGAGGGCCAAAAATGCATGGACTAGGACTGTCCATAACGGGAGGTAAGCTACATCACAAAGGCTAACTTATCTCCCTCCAACAGTGCTATATGCAATGTTTCATTTTTTCTTTTGCTGTATTATTGATCGTGCTTTAATTATATTGTTGATTAGGGGTATTTATTAATTGGCTTTGTCTACTACGGTACATGTCCCCGGATAAATTTTGATTGAAGAAGGAAAGGAATTCGCTGAGGAAGCCTCCGCCATAGCGGACTGTAAAGGACCAAATACCTGCCATATTTTATTTACCTAAACATGTTCTTTTGAATTTTCTTTTTCAAAACTGCTTGAGTGGTGTACTTCGAGGATCATCACATGTCTTTACACATTTTCTCTCATTTGGAAAGAATCACAGATCAAGTTTTTACCTTTCAATTTGTCGTCACCTTTCTTGGTCAAGTTCCTGAGCTCCATTTGAATCTCGTCCAATTGCCTTTTTACGTCCAGCATAAGATTCTCAAACTTCTTGTTTGGTCCTGCATAGAAGCTGTTGTAGTTGTTAATGTTACAAGACTGAGTCGTTTTCGGATCTATGTGATTTTGTTTCTGTGTTGTCACCGAATCTTGTGGGCAGACTAACCCCTGCAACAGCGACACACACAGAAGAAGAGCAAGAAGCATTTTAAACTGCTGACGGCTGACGCGTTGAGCCTTTAACACATACAGTACTTCGTTCGACTGCGTTTAGTGAAATGAAATCGAGTAAGAGAGCATATATGGGTTTTATTTTAATCATGGGTCATGCCTGGACATGAAAATGTACCATTGCCACAGAATAATCACGCACAGTCAAGAGGAAGGTCATGATACTTACCTTGACCGGCATATATCAGTAATTCCATCACGATCTCTGTTGCTTCACTCTGAAATCGTAATGGCGAAGACAAATTTGTTTAACCTGAATGGGAAAAATGATAGGATCGTTTTCAGTTTATGCGGAGCTCGAACTTCTAAACTAGGAAAAAAAGAAAAAGGGCTACAGTGTTAGGAAAACGTAGGTTGTACTTCGGCATATGTCACCTCAGACCAAAGTTCGTCCAAAAATAACTGAAACTGATATCTTAAAAGAACTTAATCGTTAGCGAAACGACAAGACACGTTACAATTCCATACGTGGTGAACACCACGGCCAGGCTGTTCAAAGTGGATAACGTTATCCACTGTACTGGACATTTCCCTATCCAGTGGATAACTGTTAACAAAATAAACCACACTATCCACTGGATAGTGATTTATCAAGTGGATAGCGTTATCCACGCTCTGAACAACTGGGACTTGCAGGATCAAGCATAGACACGTGAAGTGTTCAAATCGAGTTATCGGGCAAGACGCACGTATTACGTGATGTACGCCTGGACTATTCAAGAGAACCGTGACGTGAAGTATTCAAATCGAGGTTTCCGACAAGGCACACGCAAAACGTGACGTACGCCTGAAGTATGCAAGAGTATTACGTACACGTGACGTATTCAAGTTGAATTCCGAAAAACAGGCGGGATTCTACAAGAAGAATATTTCGGAAAAATGCGTTGATCCGTACTCGGGTTAATTCGGACCCGAATTGAATGACTTTTACAACAACAACAACAACAACAACAACAACAACAACAACAACAACAGCAACAACTTTATTTCTACTCATTCAGCTAGATCACTTTATAGTCTAAAATAATAGTCTAAAATTATAGTCTAATAAATACGAACCAGTTTCTGGAATTGTAAATTTCAGATGTAGCTGTTATTTCAACTCTAGTTCGACACTAACACGTCAGCTACCTCGTTTTAAGGTCTTTTTACCCATAGTGGATTAGTTAAGGTGGCCGAACACAGTTTTCGCGCGCGCTTTTGCTGATGCAATTGAGCGCGCGCACAAGGATTGACCGGAGGCGAATATATATTGGCGTTAATTGGCGCAAGATTGTTAAATATTTCGCCACGTGTATTACAGCAGGTTGCAGCTAAATGCGCGCTCGGCGACTTGTTTCTCGTTCCCCTTGAGATCGGTGCTTTTTTTCTTAGATTTCGTGCGTGAAAACGTTGTTCGCACTCGGGAACTCGTGCGTCTTTTCACAGTGTAAATGCGTTGATAGTTCTGCAGATGGTGTTGACGGGTGATGGTGTTGCCGCGGGAGTCACACCGTTGCTCTTTACGCTGTTTCTTTCTCCCTGGTTCTCTATCTTACAATATTTACATATCACCATTCGATGCAACTTTTTTCCTTTTTATCGGCCAAGAGCTCACCTCGTGACCTGCAAATAACTGTCTACAAATAATGATCTGCTCAAGCGTAATGCCGTATAATTTTGGTTTGCTGTAAATAATGTTTTGCTCACGCGTAATTGTAACCACGCTCTTGTTTGAAAAATGGCAGATCGCTTTCCTAAGCTGTCAGTGAGTGATTTCACCTACAAAAACAAACTTGGTGATCCAATGATCAATTGTTTGCCTAGTCTTTGGTTTCGGCAAATAGTTGATCTGCCCGCCACTGACAAATTACGATATTTTGCTACACCTTGTCCAGTAATCGTTAGTTAATACTTAGTCTAAGTATTAAACTTACTTATCTCTTCCAAAACCTATATCGAGCAAACATTAAGGTACGTTCGTTGCAAAACAGGCCCATCTTGGCAACGACAGCATAAACACGGTTAAAACTGTCGGAAATGTACAAAATCTGCCTCGAAATAGTGTTTGTTCTTATTCCGCAAACTTCGCCATTTTTAACGCTGCGTTGATTCGAAAAATGAATATTTAAAAAAATGGCCATCGTAATTCATGTTCTGCAGACCTTGCAGAATTTGCCATTTCACGTTGTATTTGCAGAGATCGACAAAGAAATGTACCAAGATTTATAACGCACGTGAAGGGTCATTAGGGAGCTTAAGCGAACCACGACGACGACGGCAACGAACGTCACCAAACAAAAGGTTTAATGAGCAAAACAATGGCTGTGCACGTGCGTTATAAATCTTTGCACATTTGTTTGCCGTCCTCTGCAAAACAACAACGTGAAATGACTAAGTTCTACGTAGTCTGAGGAACCCGAACGACAACGGCTAATTTTTCGCATTTCAATTTGGAACTGGACGTTGTCATTGCATTTTTAGCCTGAGCACGTTTTTAGAGCCATTGGCGAAGTGAACAGATCTAGACAGTCGCGAATTTCGCTGGTAAAATACGAACTCATTTTTTTAACAGGCGTCGTCCTCGGCGTCGCCGTCGTCGTTGTTTAAGCTTCCTATTGTATCACTAATTAAACCCTTTGTTTAGTGACGTTCCCGTTTCTCCGTCGCATCTGTTGTTTCCTTTAAAGTCCCTAATTGCCTCTCTCTTCGCTCGATCAAACACAAAGAGAATTCAATTCTGAGTAGTAATATATAAGGAGTATTGAGCTTTTTGTCATAACAAATTCCAATTCCAGAACGTAAAAATTGATAAAATAAAGGCTGGTTTCCGAGGGATTCGATAAATTTTCTTCGTCTGTCAAATAAACTACTACGCATAAGGCTTCGAATTGTTTCTTTACGGAGATGACAGATTTTTCATGCAAATTCAGTCCAGATTCAGTCAAAATTAACATAATGAACTACTCAGTCGAGCATAAAACAACAACTACAAGGCTTGAATTCTTCTAAATGGGCTTAAAAGTCGCTGAATCTCAGATTGTCTTCCAGTGCAACCTCGTTGCTTGACGCCTGTGTTAATAAAAGAATACGTTGTAGTCAAGAGAGGAAACCGACCAATTGTTGAATAATCTTAAACGGTTCATCTTCAAGGAAAGAAAAGCGTCAACAACACTTTACGAGTTTTTCGTGCTGAGAAAAAACATCATCCATTCGACAGGACTTGAAGTAAAGTTTTATTATGTGTTCCCGAGAATCTCAAAGTTTCCCGTGATGAATTCAACGGAAACATCGAGATTCGAGGGAAAACAGAACTTTCTGTTTCTCAAGGGATCAGTAATTAAATCACTGTTCTGTTATATGGCTGGAGTTAAGTGTGTAGCAATAAGGCAAAAAAAATTATACCTAGGTTATCATACAAGCAGGATTGAGTACATCTGAAAGTTTCTGGAATGCAGTTTCAGACTTAAGCCATAGAAGAACACTAACCCCATGGAAGGTTATGCAATATATGTTATGTAGTATATTTGCATTCAAGCATGGAGAGCGAATGTGTTATCCTCACTCACAACGCCTGCCTTAAGACTGAAAACGACATAAATTTATTCACTGGACATTTACAACCCTGAGACATTTGAGCGTTCGAATTTTGCGTTGAGATGTCCTCTTGGTTCAGCTGTGTATTTTTAGATTAAGCAATTGCCACGTGACCATAAATCAACTGATAAGAGCGCTTAACTCGCCAAAGGCGAAGTGAACATTGGTGAATATTCAACAAGACCAAGACGAAGTCGAGGTGAATATTCACGTACGCTCACTGAGCCTGAGGCGAATAATTGTTTTAGTATAATTTTAAGAGGTGAATATCAAGGACTACAAAATAACAGACTAAAACATAAAAAACAGACGCAATTGTTCCTGTGCATACACGCATGCAGCTGTAGTTTTAATAGAAAGCTGTACGTCGATTGTCAATCAATTTACTCATCGAGTTTGGCAGTAAAACAAACGAGCGAAACACTACGAAAAATAAATTCATCCGGTACCATTATTTTATCGTTGTTGACTTCATTCACAGTTGTCATCATCGCCTAAAAATGAATAGCTTTAGTTTGAAGAGAAAATAAGCTTATATTTCGGTCAATCGACCTGACCCGCTGGCATTGTGTTTACGATTCTTAAAAGCCTTGAATACGAGTTCTTGAAAAGATTTTTGGTCCAAGGGCGACTGCAGTCATTTTGAAAATTCTACGTCCATCCAAATACCCTGGACTCGAAGTGATGTCTTTCGAATAAATGAAAACTTCATTCAGCAACTGTCCGCTATGTTTACTTGCCGAGATAGCAAAGATGGTGAGCTTAGTAACCAAGCTCTAGCGGGGTGAATATAGCGTCATATGATGAGCTTTTCGACCAATCAGAATGTCCAATTTTTGTATACTAAATATATATATCTAGCCAAAATAGATTGTGGACTACGAGCGGGCAAGTCTGGGCAAGCCTGTTGTTCCTTGGTTAAAAAAACCCTTTCACTTTTTAGCAGGAAGGAATCTTAATTAGTATGCGTGAAATCCAAAACGTAGCTTATCTTTGCTGAAGCTATACTACTGAAGTCTCCCGGTGAACGTAACCGAAGGCAGTATATATGGTTGGAAATTTTTAAATAACGAAAAACGACGTTTTTGAACAGACATCTTTCCTATTCTTCCCGCCGAGCATCATTTGCATTAGAGAACTAGTAAATTTTGATATAAGGACTGTTGGGACTCTATTAATATCACAATCATGGAACTTCAAAAGGTAAGTTTCATTGCTCCTTACGACGTTTTGCTTTTGAAATTCTTTGGACAAAACCTTGAAGTGTTTAGCCTCCCTAATTTCATTCTAGCACGGTTAACATTTATGACTCAGGGGAAAAACTTGACCTCAAACTTTGCGAATGAAATGTCTTGATCATCGCGAAAGAACGATCGCACACGGAAATGATAACTGGCCACTCACATAGTGCCGTTAATGTTAAAATTAATTTCTTTTGCTCACAGTCAAATAAACCGTAACTCTTCGGCGGATAGTCTTTGTCAGGACATGTAAGACCTTTCGTTCTCGAAAAGCAAAAGCACGAAACCGAAATTTGACAGTTAAGTGATCTGGACGCGGAAACAATTCATCTTGAGTAATATTCTCAACATTCACCACTCTGGATAACGAGAAGCTCCAAGAGCTTAGATCTTGACATGAGAATTTCAGCGCTCAAAGTCACTTGATTTGTATAAATGGCCCGGCGTAGCACAGGGAACCTTTCTGAAAAATAGTCACGCGAGTCATAAAACGTTCGAGACTTGCGTGAGTCAAACAAAGATCGCGGGAATTTTCCAAGTGACCTCAGTTGTTAGTTTCATCTACTTGCCTGGACAGGTTCTGCACGTAGCAAGATCATGTAATTAAACTCATAGGAATGAAGGGAGCCTTAATTAATTTAATTCACGCAAATAAGAGCAAAGTTTCCGGAAGAATTAGGAAGCCTAACTGACCAAGCGCTTTTTCATTCCTGTTTTTATTTTCAAATACGTCATTAGCCGCCTTGGGAAGCAGTCACACATGGAGTCATGCAAACATTTCAATTAGTGTTATAAGACCAAACTGACAGGTTGGCGTAATGTCTGTTACTTTAGTTCCGGTAGAGCGCGTGCACGAAAGTAAAAATGGACATGAAACCTACGTTGAAGCGTGCTTAAAAATCTTTCGGAAACAATGAAATATCATCAACAGGGAAATTATCGCTTTTATCACTATACTGCACTTAATCATTTATCCCAAACAATTTCTTCGTTCCAGTTGATCGAAAGCGTCGAACGCACTGCCGGATAAATCTCTTATTACTGCTGGCCTCTAAAGAACGGCTATCGGCTGCATTGAAAAGCAATCATAAGAGTCATACTCACAGCTACGCGTTTTATAACCAGAAGTACCAAGTGTCACAAGTTCAGTTGTCTACTGTGAGGAGACACCAATGATTTTTCAGCAGTCTTTTCAGCCAGCGGAGTTAGGTTTTATGCTAGAATATTGATTGTAGAGGCAGCGTGGTCTATTGGTAAGGGCCCGGGATTTGTAATCTGGAGGTCCTGGGTTCAAATCCTCCTCCCTGCCCCTGGATGGGTTTGTATTTGGTGGTCCCAGGTTCAACTCCTCCACGCTTTGTAAATACCCAACTGGTCAGTCTCCCGCCATTTGGGATTTTTAAAATGTTTCTGTTCAATTTACAATATTTGTTTGCTCATTTCAGGGTCCTCAATTAGCGCAGTAGTGCTTAAGACTTTAACACTTATATAAAGTGATTTATTTTTATTTATTTATTTTAATGTCGTGATCGTACACAAGTAGCTATCTAATTCTAATTCGACCGTTTAGAGGACCCACTTGAACACCAGGCTGATGTAGCTTCTTGTTGGATTCTTTGGTTTTATTTTAAGTGCGAAGTCAGTAGAACGGAGAATTATTAGGGTTAGAATATTGGGAAAGGTACTCAAAGTAAGCGAAATGCTAGTTCCTGATCGAAAACGTGGCCTTCAGATGTCAATAATGTCGTAAGCAGCTGGACACAATATGACACAGAGAGAAAAAAAAGAAAAGAGAGCGTAACAGAAACCTCTTAAACTTTCCATTGTTAACGTACGCCGTTAACTTCGTTTAGGGGTGGCCTGGGCGCAAGTAAATTTCCTTGCGGGGTAGGTGAGGCAAGTGGCTCTTTGAAAATACTGAGAAATTGCCTCTTTCCCACTCCCCAGAGATTTCTTTAGTACCTATTGCGTTTCAGTGGTCCTTTAATTTGCATATTCCAGGGGGTAAGGGAAAGTTTTTTGAAAAGAAACATGGCGTCGCGTGTCATGGTTTTCTCGTAGATGGCAAAATTCTGTACCTAGAACCAAAACACACCTTTAAAGAGTTCGAAATGGTGAGGAATAAGCATCAAGAAGACTCAATCGATGGTTAAGAGGACGATAATGACTTCGAAGCAATGATGTCGTCTTTCGAGTCGTAACGAGAAGGTGTGAATCAAAGGTCTTCCTGTCGCTGCTGAATTCATGTAAAACAAAACCGAGCTACGGAACACTATGGACAAGTTTAAAATGGATCGATTATCTCTACGGTATGGAAATATCGCTAGTTCAACCGAATGTATCGCTTGTTAAATTAGCTTTCTCTTCTAGAGGAATTGTTTTATTGTTATTTTTATATACTTTCCAGCTGACTTTTGCGCTCTCGACAGCTAGACAACAACAAGCATTTGGATATCACAAAATTAATATACTTTTGGAGAACGCTTACATCCAAGTCACTATTTTTCATGAACACGATCTTTATGTCGTCTACCTATTTATAATTAAGTGAAGCTTGCTGGCTTTGGACTTTCCGTTCAGAACCGCTCGTTATCTACAGGACGCTTTAATTTTACTTCAAATGTCACGCCAACCTCGTTATAGAATATCATATACCAGCAATAACATCTTTTCTCTTTTGAAAACACAAAAAATAACAACACAAGTAAAGGAAGACAAACATTAGGAAAATGGCTGTGAAGCAGATAAACATTGTTCAACTGTTCAGCTACAAACACGGTCCTTAAAAATCTTTAAAACGCGCAGGGAATTCGTGAGGGTCTTACAGAACGTTTCGGCAAAGTGTTTACGCAGTGCTCAGAGTCTTGTCATTCTCCACGTCCGGGGTGTGACAGTTGACGTCAGTGTTGGAAGACTTGCAGGTGACGTCGTTAGGGTGCCGTCGGGCTTTGCTTTTAGCTTGTCTGCAGCGAGTTCCTGGTTCTGCTGCACGGTCGGAGGAGGCTCCTGTAAGATGAGCTCGGTTTCGACGATAGGCAACACTGCGACCGTCCAATGTCTCCATGGTGAACGAGCACTTATCTCTCGTTACGCCGTTCTTTCTCGTTGGGACGTAGAGCTTCCGTACAAAATCTTTGGCAGTGCGATCGTAGGATAATTTCTGTCTGTTTTTGATTGATTAATTGATTGGTAGACTGATAGATTGATTGATTGTTCTGACACTCGACCAGTTTCGCTTTTTGTTCAGCCAGCTTGTTAGTTTGGGGTTGCAGGAGCTTGTTTTGCTGTTAGAAACAGGGTTTTGGTTCTCCTACTCATCAGCTTCTGGGATGGGCTGGATCCAACCCCTTGTGACGGACCGGAGTGTTCCTGTAGTCCAGAATAGCTAAGTTGGGGTCATATAAACTCTTGGTCTTCGGCCATAGTAGCTTGATTAAAAATATAAAACAAACAGCGGTAATAAACATTTTAAAAACATACATTTTATGAACTCGACGTTTCGTATGCTAGTCAACATACATTTTTAAAGTATAAGCGTTAAAATTTTTTGAAAAGCTATTTATACTGTATCAATGGGGGTCTGGGACCTAGACAGAAAACATCTGCAGTAGAAATTTAAGAGGTTTCAAATGGAAACCGTCTGTAACGTGGCACAATGGAAAAGTTTTCCTAATAAAGTAAAAGTTTTTCACCGCTGACATTGACATTCAATGCTGGCTGCAGCTCCAGAATAAACAAGGTCTCCTTAACCGTACAATG